GGGGCCAGCAACACTGTATGCCCTATCACCAAAGGTACGCAGCTTAGAGGGAGTCAAGTCAAAGTTTATTTACATAGCGCTTTTTACAACAGGTGTTGTCACAAAGCAGCTTTACAGAAAAATCCGGGTCCAAGCTCCCATGAGCGTCACCAATGGCAACAGTGGCAAGAAAAAAATCCCAAGAGCATGAGGAAGAGACCTTGAGAGGAACCAAGGCTCAAAAGGGGAACCCATCCTCCTCTGGTCAACACCAGATAGCAAATGTAAGTCAGAGGAGTGAAGAGTGGGCGCTGGAGAGTATGACTGAAGCAGACTACCAAGGTAGGAGGGGGTGAGGCCATTTAAAGATTTAAAAAACAGCACGATACTGTAATGGGAGCCAATGCAGATGCTTCAAAGTTGGACTGATGAGCTCCCAGGATCTAGTGTGGGTTAAAACCCTAGCAGCTGAATTTTGCACATACTGCAGGCTATTCAGAACAGCATTACAGCAGTCAATTCTGTTTTTTACAAAAGCATGGAAAATAGTTTCAGCAGCAGCAAAAGAGAGAAAAGGGCAGATCCTAGCAACGCTCTTTTGATGGAAAAAGGCTGCCTTACAAGTTTTTTTTGATATGGGATTCAAAAGACAGAGTGGGCTTAAAAATCACTCCCAAATTTCTTATCTGGGTCGAAGAAGAGACAATGTAACCCGGAATAGAAACGGCAATCTTTTTTAATTGTAGCTGGAGAGGAAATTAGTATGGCCTCTGCCTTGTTACTATTCAGACTCAGGAAGTTCTCAACCATCCATGTCCTCACATCAGCTAAACAGTTAATGAAAAACCAAGGGCAGTAAACTGCCTGATGGTTTAGTATATAGATCTGCACATCTTCCACAAAGCAATGAAACTGCAACCCATGTCTCAAATAAATAATTTCACTGAAACTAGGCTTGGGCAATTTCATGATGTTCTTGTCACAATGCTATTTCACCAATGTGAGGTAGTGATCAGCAACTTTGGCGCACAAATGTTTAACAGTGTGAAAAAAGAAGATCTAGACTCAGATACAACAAACTATTATGGAAAAATTGTCAAAAAGGGCCAAATATGAGCCTGAAAGTTTGACATAGAAAGAATTACCAACAAAATAACCTTTTTTCTACTGCAAAGGAAATGTTTTCATGCAGTGGAGAAAGTTTCTTTCAAAAATCATGACATCTGTCAGTGAGCACTTCAATGCCACCATGTGGCCAAGTTAGAAAATACAAATGCAATCTTTATAAGGCTGCTTTTTTCAATGGTTTAGTTAAACCATTTTCCTTCTGCACTGTAACATATTTCCAAGTGAAACATGGTATCAGGGAGGGTCTCTGAGCTGAGCATTTTATGAAGCTTGTTTTGTCCACTCTTAGCTTCAACAGACTCTGCTTTTTCAATGAAAAAAAAATACTTTTTAAAAGTTTAAGCAAACAAGCCAATAACTACACCAAAAAAATGTATTACTTGTTGGCAGCCCTACTTTGGGAGGAAGGGTAAGTGCTGATAGCATAATACATGATGTGCTGTGAAAAATTAGCTCCTTGCTCAAGAGAAAAAAAAGTGAGGCACACCACACTGTAGCAAGGGCTAGCGATAGCTACAGCTAAATGCTGAAAAAATAGCATTTTACACTGGTCTAAGCTGGTTTATGCTGGTCTGGTGCTGGTTTAGCTGGTCACCAAGCAGGTCCTGCTGATTGACCAGCATACCAGCATCCAAAAACCAACTTATGCTGGTTTTGCTGGTGACCAGCCATGCTGAATTTTCTAGCAGGATCGGCAGCTAAAATTAGCCAAATGTCTTGCTTGTCAAGTATAGATAATGTAACAAAACAACAAAAAACTTACTTGAAATGTCAAGCTCTGCACTGATAAGACTCCAGCTGCGCTAGCAAGCTATCACTCTATTTTTATTTCATTTAACCAGAGTGCATTGCTTGAAAATGTCCTGTTTAATGCTTTTTTTTCAGATTGTCCTGCAACTCTTTTCCAGTGACCGCTGCTCTTTCCTTCTGATTAGTCTGAGAGAAATCTTGCATGGTGCCTGTGTTCGAGGATGATTAGTTGTGGTTTGAACTTTCCACTTGCATATGATCAAACCATTTGCACTGACACAGATGTTCAAGTCTTTGTTCTGGCTCTGTAACTTTTTGTGTTGTTTAATAATGTTGTCCCTATGAATGTAAGGAAGCTCATTCACCTTCATCACTTGTTGTGAAAATCTTCCCAACCAATGGCAACGTCTTTTGTAATGATACCAGGTCCAATTTGCACAAAAATGTTTTTATTTTTGCAACATCTTAGCAACCACCTGGGATACCACAACAACAGCCTAGCAACACATTAGAAAGATGTGGGATACCATAACAACAGTCTGGTAACTTCTTAGCAGCCACCGGGGATTCCACAGCAACAACCTAGCAGCACCTTAACAACTACAGTGGATACCACAAGAATGGCCTAACAGCACCTTAGCAATCACCTGGGACACCATAGCAATGCCCAAGCAACACCTTAACAACCACCTAGTATAACAAGGAACAGCATAGCAACACCTTAGCACCACCTGACAACACCACAGCAACAGCCTAGCAACGTTTTAGCAACCACCAGGGATTCCACAGCAACAACCTAGCAACACCTTATCAACTACAGTGGATGCCACAGCAATGGCCTAGCAAACACCTTAGTAACCACCTGGGACACAATAGCAAACCCTTAGCAACCACCTGGGACACCATAGTAACAATCACAGCAATGGCCTAGCAACACCTTACCAACCACCTGACAATACCATAACAACAACCTAGCAATGTTCTAGCAACCACCTGGGATTACATAGCAACAACTTAGCAACACCTTAGCAACCACCAGAGGATACCATAGCAAAAGCCTAGTAACACCTAAACAACTACCTGGGATACCACAGGAACGACATAGCAACACCTTAGCACCAACTGGTATAACAAGGAACAGCCTTGTGCAACGGCCTAGAATTACCTAATAACTACTTGGGACAGTATATTAAGGGCCTCATGAAGCCAATATTAAGTTTGTTCATAAACGTTCGCCACTGGTTTAATGTAGGAGTTTAATATTTTATTATCTATCAGTTCAGTTTTTTTAAAAAAAATGTGGATTCACACTTCATATTTTTCAGTCACATTTTTAAGTACTACATCAAAAGACATTGTGTAAATTTGAAGTAGATATATACACTGAAAGTATATTAAATAACAAAAAACAGAAGTGTCTAAATACTTGTTTCCCCTGACTGTATATGACCCCTTTATAGGACATGATCCAGCACTGAAGACGCTCCGTATCAAACACTTAGCCGTATCAGGTTTGGCCTGTGTCTGCAGGAATGTAACTGGAAAAGCAAGCAGCTGCCATCATGAGCATTTTTCATCAGGCGAAAAAAGGAAAGTGACGAGGTATGACAGAGCCGCAGTGGAGCGCCTGTCAGAATTCATACTGGGCTTAATAGATCAAATTCCCTCTGCACCCTCCGCACCGCTGGCAGGTAATACGGGAGGTAATTTGGTCAAAATTGCAGCCCTGATTTTGCAGGGAATCTACTAACAGTGTCATGTAGCAGGGGAGGAGGGGGGCACGGAACAGACAGAGAGAACGGCAAAGATGTGAGAGAGAGAAAAATAGAGAGAGAGAGAGAAAAAGCATAGATTATATTGTACCCAAAAAGGGGGGAAAAAATAAAAAATCTCTGCCCTCTAGTGGCGGCTCGTGCCAAGGCCTACACTGTGGCAGATGCTGCCAAGTGGCAATGTTTCCCTACAGCAGGTTCCTCAAATCCAGATGGCCATGGGCATCCCTGTCTGGCATTTTTCCTGCTTAAACATTGAAAGACTGGCTTGATTACAATCTGGCAAGTTGCATCAGGTGGACTGGAGCAGGGAAAAACACTGCACGTCTATAACTGAAACATTCCATTCTAGAGAAACTTACAGTGAGAACGGTTCACAGTGGTGGTGACAGAAACCAGACGTCTGAAGAGTTTGTCTCCTTCAAGTTCCTTCTAAGACGTTTTTATGTTTTCTGCGAAGGTTTTGGCCTAAAATGTAATTTTAAAATATGCATTCATGGTGGAAGAGTGTTTGAAGGCAAAATAAAAGTGCTTTTTTCAGATTTAGTACTAATTTACCATTATCATATTTCTACTAATGCCACGTGGACTTAGCTCCAGATTTTTATGTCACATGTTTCACGAATAGTCAAAACCAGAATGCTTGGTTAGATCATTTTTTGCCATATAATGACAGATTCCTACAGTAAATGTGTTCAATTTATACCAACTTGCAATTTAAATTTAGCAACGCTTCATTGCAGAGTTAGCCAAGGAAAGCTGATTTCCTGCAGTTACTATGCTGCGTTTATCAGTTAGAGCAACACCTTCAGAAAACACTTGTAGGTTCACTGATTATTTGGATAGAAAGGAAACAGTACTGTAGACATTACCACCCTTGATTCCCATCACCACCCCTGTAATGAACCATTTCTACTTTAAACCAATTTACATCAACCTTTTTCCCCCAATTTCCCTTTAAAGCAGTGGTCAACAACCCTGGTTCTTGCATCTACATTCTTGCAGAGTCAAGCTCCAACCACCATCTGCCACACTTTCTCCAGCCAGTGAACATCTTCTAATGTTCTTGATTTGCTAGATCAGATGCATTAGAGTTAGGCTGGTGGTGGTGGTGGTGGCCTGGCGGGAGTAAATGTTAAGTGACCGCTGCTTTGAAGGGACAGTTTGACCAAATATGCTAGCATGGCTGACACAAAGCTTGTAGTCACCAATTTGCATGATGTCAGTGTAATGCTAACTGGCTAACTATTTTTGTTAGTAACATTAGCTGTTCTGACCAAAGGCCAAAACATCCATAAAATATATAATAAATGCATATTACACCATAATCAGTGTGAGTATATGTATCACCACAAGAACGACACCACTTTCTTATCACAAAGTATAAATGTTTTATCACTCAAAATGAACAGAATATCAAATCTCAGCACAAAAGCTTTACTAAGGAAAACAGAAAATTACTAATTGAACAAATATAAAAAGGTAGAAAGGCACTTGTATATTGGTAACAAGCCCTTTTACATCTTGCGACACTCCCCACCATACAGCCAACACAATCTGACTTCAACATTGTCTACGATAAATCTCTCTTTTTACAATACAGTGGTTAACAAAAAGGCAATTTACCATCATTCAACAAGTCTTTAAATGGAAAATTCCACTGATTTTTGATTTAACATTTCTGCAAAATTCAATTAAGATGTGAACAAACTCACTCAGAGTGGTCTGATGGGAAATCAGTTCTGTTATAGAGTAATGGAATTGTTCACAGTGGTGGTCATATTACATGAAAAACTTACGAATGTGATGCCCGAAACATTGTTTTATGAGTTATGGACTGAAACCTAATTTTCTTAAATATATTCTAAGCCTAAGGCTACATGGAAGGCATTGTGAGGTGAAATATTCCTTAAAGAAAATGTATTTTTTCAAATGTACCACTATTTTACCAATAAAATGGCTACATTTGTGTTGTAGATGTTGCAACACCTGGTTCCTATCACCACCACTGTAAAGAAATCTATTGGTAAGTTTCTCTACAATGAACCACTTCACATCAAACCAATCTGAATGACTTTGAACATCTCAGCGCACGAATTATGCTGGAATTTTGAAAAGCTGGTGGAATTCCCCTTTCAAGAGAACACACAATTTGGCATTTCGTTTAACCCATAAAGTATATCAGAACCATCCATTCAACTGTGTTGGCAACAAAGCTGCTAATTAAGGGTCTACGGCCAAAAAATGACTTATTACTTCCACCTTTGGCACAACTTTTTGCCCCCCAGTGTCGTATGTACACATCACAAGAGGCATTTGTTGTAAGTGGCATTCTAGTCAAAAACCTGCATTGTGGACATAAAGAAAACAGCCGCGTTGAGTTTTGCACTGTAGAAAATGTAGAAAATTCCATAAAAAACACTTAGATAGATGCTTATGATCCGGCATACGCTTAACGCTATGAAACAGTACAAAGTGAGTTTAAATGAGTGTAAGCAGCCATGGGTTTATGGATGTTAGCAATGCTAGATCTCTAACATGAAATGGACACCATGAAAAAGAAGTATTAAATATGTAAAAGAGGACAGATGATTCATTTAGCCTAAGGATCTCACACTTAAACGCTGTAGAGGTATCAAGTCCAGTAATGGCTTCAGAAGCTCCAGGGAGGAGTACAAAACGCTAGCATTAGTAAGCTAACTTTGGGGTCAGCTTATAGAAACAGCTCAGAGAAAAATCTAATCCTTACCACAAATGAAGGCCATTAGCCAAGACATGTTTGGTGTCTGAAGTTTGCTTCCTTGGTTTTAGCACTGGCTAATGCAGCTAACACGTTATGGAAGCTAGTAGCCACAATTAGCATGGCACAAATCATCAGACACTTGCTTCAAACCACACTGAGGTGTCGAGTAATCTCTACTAGACTTGCTGAAGTGGTTTGTGGCACTGTATGACACTGTTATCTCCAAAAATGGACAAATGTATGGCTTCAAAACAGTCACTACTGCTGTTAGCTGTGCTAGCTGTTTTTACAGGTAACAGTATGTTAGCTGACTAGCTACATCTGAGGTAAGTCAGGAAAATCGTGTAAGAATTTTCACCAAATTATTTCTTAAAGGGCCCAGACACACCAAGCTGAGAAAGAACCAGCGGCAACTATGGTCGATGCTAGCTCAGCGTTGCCTCTCTTGTCAAAATTGGAACTTAACACGACTCTGCATAGCAGGAAAAACGTAAAACTGCAAAGTTTGAAAGTGATATATTGTTTAAATGTCTTACACGCTTCAAATGTCCATGTTTATGATAAATACAGTTTTCGAAAGTGAGCGTAAGAACGTTTGTACATTAAGCGGTTGGTGTATATTCATAACTATTTGACAATTTATTTATTTATTTTTTTTTAAGTCAACGTTACAAGCTTTCTCATATGCTAGACAATATTTCAAACTGATATTTGATGTATTTGTTGTACTCTGGAAAAGCAGAATGTTTCAGTGATTCCTTAGGTAATCCTACAGAAGTAAATGTTATATTTCCCTGTAGTGCTAATCCAGTGGGATGTAGTCCTATCAGCTTCAGTATTAGCATGAAATTGAAGCTCAACCCCCACCCAAACCCACTTGCATGCGCTAATAGAGATGGACCATCACAGACGTGGCTTTACAGACCTTTACTTTGTTGCTAAGTCCTTGAGTTGAGCGACGAAACAATCTTACACACAAGCAGTATTTATTATCAGCATATTTTGGTGGAACTGCTGATTGTATGTGGCAGAGAGCAGCATCTACCCTACTTTGATAAACTGTTAACAGTAGTTCTGCTGTGCTAAAGTTCCTCTTACTACTGATGCAAAAATGCACAAAATTCAGTGTGTGTGAAATCTACCAAAACACTCACTAATTAGAAAACAAGCTAGAGCCCAATTCATGTAAAAAACTGGCCCAAACCCAGCCCAAAACTATGTTCTGTCAGGGCTTGGGTCAGGTAGCAGACCTCTATGCCTATGTCCATGAAAAATATGAGAATTCTTATAGGTGCATCCCTAATTTATATAACAATATTACAGATTTCCTCATTGGGAATATAATATTCAAACACTGTTGGTTTAAAAAAATCAGGCATTCACATAGCAAAAGATGTTATAATGCCCATCCCTAGTGAAAAAAACATTGCTGCTGCACCAAAATAAAAATTCTTGATGGAAAACAAAATTCGGACATGCTCAGCCGAAAACAGAAACCGAAAACTTGCCAATTTACCATTTCATTTAGAATTTTGAACGAACGTTTTTTTTAATATGTATGTAGAGCGCATGGACATGGCTTTGGGGGGCGCACCTAGCAGTCAGAAGTTCCTCCAGCAGGGGGTGCTCCAACACGTAACTGGCTTTAGTGTGCATCATTTAAAGAAAAGAAACAGCCATAAACCTCAGCAGGATCTATTGAACGCATATAATTACAGTAACAACTTTAAAAACCAGGGGTAAAAAAGTTTATTACCAAAAGATGAGTTAGTTAGTATTATTAACGAGATTTCCATTAAAGAATTTTATTAAATCAGTTAGTGCTAAAGAGCTAAATTAATGACTGTAGAGCAGGCAGCTGTAGAGAACCGTGTTTGAGTGTTTCACTGTTGATCTGCTGCTGCTCAAACTGTTTGAACACATCTGTACTGACTAGAACAGGATAACGAAGAAAAGAAAGTGTTTTTAGTCACTATTTCTCGTTTTCATTAGCATTTAAATGGTATTAAGTGTTTGATTGTGATACTTCACTTATGTCTATTTTATGTTTATGTTATGCTTTTTTTGGCCAGAATATCTCAAAACCACTCCATTTTCAGCTGGAAATTTTCAGCGCGGATTCAACAAGCTTTAATTTGCAAAAACTGCGCTGACAAGAGGCAACTAGAGCCAACCGACGACCTGAGGGCTTCCCATGGCCGACATTCGGCTTGGTGCATCAGGGCCCTGAGACAGCACCGAGTGCAGTTAAAGACATGAACTCTAGTTTCAATTCAGTGCGACCTACAACTGAACCAGACTGCCCACTAAAGCATAAAGCCACTGAGGAAACTCCTCATCCTAGTTTTCTCGTTTGATTTGGCTGATTAACTGCTCTACTGTCAGTGTTAAGGATCCTTATCATAACTTTTCCTAACTTTGCTGTTTGATTCTCCCACTTGCTCAGTTCTTTCCTGTTAAAAGTTCGAGTTTTTCTGAAAGTGCAGCAGACGGTGCCATGGACTCAGACAAAATACAAACAACAGAGAGACAAAACGTACACATTCTCTTGCTCTCTCTCTCTCTCACATACGAACACATCCACCCGCACACTGTATAAAATACCCCAGCCCCAAATTTCTTTTTTTGCCATAAATAAATTAAGTTCATTAATTCACATTCAATGTGTTGTCCATCATGATGCTTGTTCACATTTGGGAAAGGTTCACTCCTTCAACTCAGGGCTTTCCTCAGCAGTTCTAGATCTTTGCGTGCAGGCGCCTCTGTGGGCGGAGGGCAGGCGTACTCCTCCAGGGAGAGGGGGATGTATCTCTCCTGCAGGCCAGCGGCCTCCTCGCCCTGACCGACCTGGAGGGACGCCCATGGCTGGGCCGATGATGACTTGTGGAAGCCGAAGAAGGCGAGACTTCCTGGAGGAAAATGATGGGAAAGAGAGAATCTATCAACATTTCCCATCTAGCAAAACTAAGAGAGTGTAAAAACTAGGGTGAATATCTGAATAGAGACAATTACTGTTTATTTGCTGAACTTCACATATTGGATAAAAATGAACCATTAAATGTGGCATGTGCAACAGTTATGGCTCATTATACATTTTATGTTTTATTGTTTTCCAATAAGTTAAACTAAGCAAATACATAGAAATTGTGCAGCAAAATTGGGCCAAAAATGCCATAATTGTGTTCTAATCACCATTAGCTAGCTACCACTTCAGCAATAGTGTCAATCTAATGATACTATCTAGCTGATATCAGATCAAGTACTTTATGTATGAGATCGGCTTGAGTGAGCTCCACCAACACTATTGCTGTAAACCTATCAGGATATACTGGTGAGTGTACAAAGCCAACCTTTCCCCTTCAGATCCGCCATTTTAGCTGCTCCCAGGGGGACCAGATATTGTGCGATGCCGGCAAATCCATCAGGCTGACCTCTCGAGGCTAGCAGAACAATTGACCTGGGGAAAAACACAACACTTACAATATATTAATTCGCTTATTCTGTATTCATGCTATTTTTATCCACCCTGAAAGTTCCTGTTATCTCACTGCATATGGACTAGTTCATATATGAACAGATAAGCACAGAAATTAAGCAGATATTGCATATTTCAGTCCCATTAAACCCTCTGGAGTCTGGAGTCTTACTCTTAGGTGTGCCATTTGATAACATCTCATCCAATCAAGGTTTCCTGATAAGCAGCCTCCTTGTTGTGCCAGGAACTGCATCATGGTCAGTTGGACTACGTCTAGGCCATCCAGGCTAACTCAGTGCTCCAAAATCATATACAATATCTAGGGCTGTCCCGAATACCATTTTTTGAGGTTCAAAACTTCGTCAATAATCTACAGTGCATAGTCAAATCCCATGTTAAAAGCACATCCACGACTTCAAACACTGTAAATATGAATCTTCAGGCAAGCCGTTTTCCTCGCAGAGTGCTGCGGGTTTTACAGCGTGGCTTCACTCTACCAGACCTGCTAGCCTCTCTTGACAGCAGGTTACAGGGTAATAGCACAGCGCATGCTTGGGCTAACCATGAACCATTATGTTGGGCTAACCATTATGAAGGTGGACTAACTCTAGGTATGAACATCACTGCCCTAGTAAAGGGCACTGTTTGCAGCCACCCTGGGAACACATGCTAGTTCAGTTATTTTAAAGAGAAGAAATGTTTATGCTGGGCTGTTTTAGGTTCGGGGGTGGCACGTGTCGGAGGTGCAGGGGGCAGCGCTGTCGCCTCACAGCAAGAAAGACCTGGGTTCGATTCCTGGCAGGGCGGCCAGGGTCCTTTCTGTGTGGAGTTTGCATGTTCTCCCTATATCTGCATGGGTTTCCTCTGGGTACCCCGGTTAAGCCACTTAGAAGATGTGTGTGTGTTATAGGTTCATTAGTACTATGTCTTTTTGTTGAAGAGCCTGAATATGGGTGGGATTTTTGTTGAATAACCTGAATACAGGTGGAGTTTTTGTTGACTGTAACTATAAGTTGTCCCAAGTTTCTCCGGAGAACCTCAAACATTATGGTATTTTGTTGTTTGCCTTTACTGATATCCTTCATTTAAAATACCCACAAAAAACTAATATATCCGAATCCCAAAATGAAAAACCAACCAAACCAACGAACAAATATCCAAAAAAGTTGAATATTCAGGTCTAAACCTAATAATATCCCTTACTTTGAGAAATTGATCTAGAAAACAATAAATTAAGAAGTTTTACCAAGAATGGGGCAGGTTTCTGGACTACAACAAGTCTGCTAGTGGGAGTCTAGTACAACTTTGAACCAAATCGCATGTGTTGAGCAGGACTTTCTTATTGTTTTTCCTTTTTTCTATAATGGCTGCCATTACACAGAGTGATGTAGCATTCTGTGTAGATCTTCCTCCTCTGAGGCAAATTCATGGACTGGAATCATGTGGCCAGATGTGAGTACAGGTATGAAAACTTGTAGAAACATGGACAGTTTACCCCTCCAGTATCTCCCTCTACATCATCCCCCCCTCATTCTTACCGTACTGGGATCCCAGCTTTGAAATACTGCTCCATTTTGGAGTCCAGCTTGGCAAAAAATGAATGTTTTGTGACTTTGCCAGTGCAGGCATCTATGGAAACCACGAGGAAGCCAATCTTGGTGAGGCTAAACTGCACGTTGTTCACCTAAGAGAGAGAACAATTCAACAACGTGGTCTTTCAGCTTGCTGTGTTTTGCTTAACAGTGGTTTGAGAAGGATTTTGGTGCTGCTTACAGTGATGAAGGCTTGAGTGTCGTTCTTTTGCTCCTCTGCGACGCTGAGGGGTTTGATCTGGGTCTGGAGGTAGCTGATTGATGGGTCACTTGAGAAGGCCAGCTGCAGGAAGGAAAAACAAAGGACATTACGTTTTAAAGCAAAGCACATGTAGACTTTGTTTTTTCAAAACCTGAACGAGCTGAGAAAATTATGATAAACTTCTAATTTTTGTGACCAGTTATTTTATTAAACCTTAAGAAACTGAGACCTTTTAATCTACTGATTACTGATCAATTTATCAACTGATAATAGAGAAAAAACATCATCACACCACAACACTTCCTCTTTCTACAAGCCTGAGAGAAAGAGAGAGAGGGAGAGAGAGAGAGAGAGAACAGACAGAATGAGGAAGCGAGACAGAGAGAAGAGATTGTCAGAAAAAGAGAGAGAGAAATGAAGAAAAGGAGAGAGAGAAACAAAGAGAAACAGAAAGAAGGAAAACAAAAAGAGATATAAATAAAATAAAGTGAAACAGAGAGGAAAAGACATAGACAAGAAGAAAAAGAGACAGAAACAGAAAAAAGACAAAGAGAAGGAAAGAAAATAGTAGAGAGAAACAAAAAGTAAAGAAAGAAAGAAAAAAGAAACACATAAAGAAAGACAGACAAAGTGAAAGAGAAGAAGAGAAGAGAGGGAGGGAAAAAGACAGACACAGAAAAGAGGAGTCAGACAGGGAGAGAAAGTGAGAGAGAGAAAGAAGAAAAACAAGAAAAAGCGAAAGACAAAAGAAAAGAAAGAAAGAAAAAAAAGATGGACAGAGGGAGCAAGAAAGACAGAAAGAAATGAGGGAAGGAAAAGAAAGAGTGAGAGAGAGAGAGAGAAAGAATGAAAAAGAAAAAGAGCAACAGAAAGAGGGGAGCAAATGTACGGAGCTGCACTTTGGACATCCTGTATAAATAAAAATAATGCACGGCCATGACTTAGTAAGACGTGGGAATAAGATCCTAATGTGTGGCCTTGACTTCGCAAGGCATGATCTCATTCCCACGCCTTACTAAGTCGTGGCCACACATTAGGATCTTGTTCCCACGCGTTATTTTTATTTATATTGGATGCCACCAGCAGGGCTCTGTACAAAAGAGAAAAAGACATCAAAAAGACAGAAAAGGAAAGAGAGAGAAAACAGGGGCAGAAAAGAAAGATAGAGAGAGCAAGAGAGAAAGAGGGAAGGAAAAGAAAGAGCAAGAGAGAGAAAGAAAGAAAGAAAGAAAAGAGAGAGAAGGGAAGAGACAGAACAAACTTCCAACGCATGATCCTGAAGTGGAGCGAAAGAGAAAAAAAAGAAAGAAACTCAATGAAAGTGAACGCTGAATGTTCTGTTTGTGGATGGTAGTTTTCTTTAAGCAGTACTGAGCTGCTCCTGTTTAACCTCCCCATTAAAAATCGTTATAAACGGGACTGTGATCAGTTACAGACAGTCAGAGCTACTGATTTCTACTGAACTACACAGAACAAACAGCAGGAGGTGGTCAGATCTGACCTTGGAGGCTCCACAGCGGCTGCAGGACTGGACCGGTTTGGGCATGGGCACGGCGGCGCTGGGAGCCCGGCTGTATTTGGGGTAAGCTGCGGCTGTGCAGTTGCAGGTTTGTTTGGTGCTGGTGGTGGCCGTGATCTTCACCCGCTCACAGCCGCGGATGGAGCAGTAACTGTGACCGCTGCGGCCGTGCCGGGCACGAGCGTACAGCCACAGCAGCCTGAGGGGAGACAGAGAGACACCTAATTCAAACATTCTGTATACAAACAGTTTCAGCATGATAGTGTACTTTTAGATGCTCATCTTAAGTGAGGTGCTTTAATTAAACATCTCGTAGTTGCTTTTAAAGTCGGATTGTATCAGTGAATACAATAATATCAGTATCAGTATCAGGTTTTAATATCAGTATCGGAATAGAAAGTGTGTGTAGTTTGGCTTAAATCCTGCTGAGACAGTGAATGTGTTTAATAATCAGATAACTACAAAAAATCAGATTTTGTCAGTAATCCAATCAATGTGTTTACATGCACTTGAGTAATCAGATAATGGAAAACTCCGGATCTACACGAGTCTGCTTTGCAACCAGCCAATAAACTCACAGAAAAAAGGTGATATCAACATAAAATAAAACTTAATGCTTTTAACCCCCACATGCGCAGACTGAGAAATGCGAAAGAAATCAGAGTAAGAGTTTATATGCACTGAGAAATCTGATTACTGAGCTAAAATCCAGCCTCTTTATCGGATTTCTTACTCAGATTTCTAGACCTTACTCAGATCTAAGAAATCCGAGTATTCTGTTCACATGACCATTTGAATAATCAAATAACGCACTCAGTATCTACACTGTTATGACTGTTATGCCCTCTTACCCAGTAGATTTGTCGAAGAAGTATTTCCTATCCATGGCTCGTTTTTCCAGCTCGGCCAGAGAGGAGACGGAGCCGTAGTCCTCCATTCCATCAAACACGTTGTTCTGCCGATGGTAGAAGTCCGATATCACCTGGAAGGCCGTGTCTGATGGATAGCAGAGGCCTAATAGAGTCCAGTCTCCACTACAACAGCAGCACATTAACACAGAAAACACATTTTTAGTATATTTTTATGCTAATTTCAAGTCGGGAATTGCTTTTTAATTGGTTTTTCAATTGCTGCTGCACAGCAGGTAGAGGTTCAGTGATAATGTGCTTATTGTGATTTGGATGGCAATATCGTGCCTTTGCCTTTGAGGTATGAAATCAACTGAGTTAAGAAAGAAAAGTCCAAGGTATCTGAACATTTGACATACACTGTATGGACAAAAGTATTGGGACACCTACAGAAGCTTTTATGACATCCCATTCTAAAACCATAGGCATTAATATGGAGTTGGTCCCTCTTTGAAGCTTTAACAGCTTCCACCCTTCTGGGAAGGTTTTCTACAAGATTCTGGAGTGAGTCTGTGGGAATTTATGCTCATTGAACTGGTTATTGAGTCAGCAAAGCGTTGGTGACTTGTATGCATTATGGTCCTCAGCACTCGGCGATTCGCTCTGTGTTGCTGTGGTTCCTAAATTCTTCCACCTCTCAATAACACCACTGAGGAGGGAAGAAATTTCACAAACTGACTTGTTTCAACGGTGGCGTTCTATTACAGTATCACGCTCGAATTCAGTGAGCTCTTTAGAGCGACCCATGCTTCCACAAATGTTTGTAAAGGCAGGCTGCATGGCTAGGTGCTTGATTTTATACACCTGTGGCAATGGAGCCAAATTAAACACTGGAATTCAATGATTAAGAGGTATATCCCAGTACTTCTGTCCATATAGTGTATAAACAAGGGCAAAATTAAAATCAGATTTCTGATTCCATCTGACAGCTCTAAGAATTTTCGCTGGTGATCTTATCCCGAATGTAGTTGATCAGCCAAAGCATGCATACGATGCTAAAGTAGCTTACAAGCAATGAAAGCTTATACCTCACCAATTAACATCATGCAAACTGCATGCATAAATCACAAATGGGCAAAAGTACAGACAAAATTCAGGCCTCTATGTGGCTCCTACTGCAGTTTCAGGCATCCATACATCCATCCATCATCTAAACCGCTTATCCTTCTGGGTCGCGGTGGGGTGCTGGAGCCTATCCCAGCTGTCATTGGGCGGAAGGCAGGATACACCCTGGACAGGTCGCCAGTCCATCGCAGGGCAGACAGACAGACATATACACACTCACACACACACACACACACACCTAGGGGCAATTTAGCACGTCCAATTGGCCTGACTGCATGTCTTTGGACTGTGGGAGGAAACCGGAGTACCCGGAGGAAACCCACGCAGACACGGGGAGAACATGCAAACTCCACACAGAAACGACCCTGGTCACTCGGCCGGGAATCGAACCCAGGCCCTTCTTGCTGTGAGGCGACAGCGCTACCCACTGCGCCACCATGCCGCCCCGTTTCAGGCAAGTAGTGATAATTTATGCATGCAGTTTGCATGATGCTAATTGGTGGCATATAAGCTTCCATTACTTATTAGCTACATTAGCCTCGTAGCTCCAGTGCAAAACTGAAAAAGCAGACACCAAAGATGATGGACTACATTTGGAATAAAGGTCAAATTATGTCATTTTGAACCTTTGTTAAAGCAGAATTCCTTAAATTTTTCTAAATTTCTGCACAATTAAATGATTAAGATATAAACAATGTCATTCAGAGTGGTTTGGTGTGAAATGCTCTGTTCTAAAAGGAACTTATTAAGGCAGAACTGTTCACAGTGGTTTTGATAGGAACCAGACGTCCACCCAAATGGTCCCTAAAAATACTCTAATTTTCTCAGGTTGATCACTACTTTACTACTATAAGGATTACATATAAACACTCAGAAGACACATGTAGGTTCACTGAAAAGAGATCTAAGTCAGTTAGTTTCTCTACAATGAACCATTTCACATCAAACCACTCTGAATGCCTTCGTTCACATCTAAACCAGTGAATTTCAACAGCTTTGTTTAGTTCAGCTGTGGCTCACAGGTCGAAGTTGACGAGCGACAGGACGATCTCTTTGGGCGCCTCTCTGCTCCAGTGCAGCGTGTAGCTCTTGCTCATCATCAGAACGGGCTGGTACTGCTGCGAGAGCGCTCCCTGGCTGTTGATGCCTCTCAGCACAAAAGGCTTATCGGGGTACTCGTCTCTGGTGATCGACAGGCTCAGGTTGGGCACACCCTGAGTCTTTATGTACACCTGTAAACAACAGAGGATGAAGTGTAACATGATTAACACAACTGTGTACATAACAAACTTTACACTTTACACAAAATAAATAGGAAAATCAGTTCAAAGTGCATCTCAAGCCCATCAATACGAAATTAAAATTAAATCTAAATGAGATTAAAAACATTTAAGACTTAATACAGTGATAGGAAACAAGTGTTCAGACACTTTTGTTTTGGTTATTCAATAACCTTCCAGTGCATACACCTACTTCCAATGTACACATAATGAATTTTGACTTGTGTCTACGGTAAGAAGTAATACGTTTTTGGTAGCATTGTGGTTCAATTTTGGTCCTTTCCTCTCAGCAAACTGTCTTCAGGTCCTCGAGAGAGTCCCACTGATATTGACGCAATTTCAAAATCCCCAGTAATTTTCAATGGGACTCAAATCATGAGATGGCTAGGCCACCTTCACCTTTCTAGAAACCAGTCTTGAGCTGTTTTGGCTTCATGTTTGGGGTCATTGTCTTGTTGAAACATCCAGCTTCTCCTCTTTCATGGCTGATGAGATTAACAACTCTAATACCTTCTGGTACATCACTCTATCCATGTTTCCAGTACTGATTTCAGAGCAGCAACCACACATAATGATGCTCCCACCTTCATACTTCACTGTGGAATTCTATATCTGAATTCTTGCCAAAGAAGCATCTCATATGGTGACACTAGGACAATTTGCAAGATAAAATTCTTACTTTTGCAGTATTTATAGATATTAGAACTAGATTTAGATTTTTTTTTACTATTACACATATTTTAACATATTGTCTGAATACTTGTTTCCCCTGACTGTACTTAAATATACTGATTTAAATATTTATGATATGTAAAGTGAATGTATAGCAAAATGGCAATAACTCTAGATCGCCAAAGGATGTCGTATTAGAATACATCACTTTATATGTTGTGTGTAACTACAAAGGAAAATGTCCAGGTTCATTTCCTGACCTGAGCGTAGCGGCCGCTGCACACACATCCGTTCCACTGCGGCATGTTCACACAATCGGGGTGGCGGACCAGATAGTTGTCGGCTCTCACTGCGTACGTGTCGGGGTAACCGCTCACCGAACCGTCCAGGTCGTGGAAAATTGAGTTCTTGTCACCATCTAGATCGTTGTCCTCAAACCACTGACCCGGCCTCCCAAAAAACGCCCGAAGGGTCACCTAGGGATATAAGAGACAAAAGGAAAAGGGTTATTCTAAAATGTGGTCATCTGTCAAATGTTAATAAGATAAAGTCATGTGTCATACGCCTTGCTGAAGTACACTAGATTCCATCTGATGCAGATCTAGAACCCAATGGAGCTAGCTTGGAGAGCCCTGTGTCCAGCTCTTAACATGAGACAACACCTCAGTATGCAACATTAACAGAACCTTTGAAAGGCTTCCCGAGATCATAATTAACATCACAAGGTCATCATAGGTCAAACAGGGTCAAAAACCTCAGTGAGCTAATAAGCTAGCTAAACAAACTTTGTAATTCAACCCATTTTTTGTATTTTTGTACTGAAACAACAAACTAGGAACACATGACCAGTAATATCTGAGAGAAATTTTGTGTACCGGCGTAGCTATTTTAATACATTGGGCTACATTAAAATTTTTATCCCCCACATAAAGCGTTTTAGGACATCTCACTATCTAGTCGCTACCTTATAAAGAAATAAATAACACTGCTGTTAACTCCAAGTTGTGAAAGGGTCCTGATGTAATTAGCCTAGACTTTTGCTAGCTAGCTAGCTGCCATCTTTGGCAGATGAATAATACTGTTAACTCTAAGCTGAGAAAGTGTACTGTTGTGATTAATTGGCCTAGACTTTTGCCAGCTGTCTAACTAGTCTGGTACATACATAATACTGTTGTTAAATCCATGATTTGAAATTGTCCTGATGTAATTAGCCTAGACTTCTGCAAGCTAACTAGTTACCATCTTTAGCAGATAAATAAAACTAAATCACCACTGTGAAAGTGTAATTTTGCTAACTAGCTAACTTGTTGCCTTCTAAGTAGATAAATAGCACTGTTAACTCCAAGTTGTGAAAATGTCCTGATGTAATTAGCCTGGATTTTTGCTAGCTATCTAAGCTATTTGCCATTTTTGGCAGATAAATAATACTGTTGTTAAAGTGTCCTAATGTAATTAGCCTAGACATTTGCTAGCTAGCTAGCAAGCTAGCTGCCACCTTTGGCAGATAAATAACACTGTTAACACCAACTTGAAAAAGTGTACAGATGTGATTAATTAGCCTAGACTTTTGCTTGCTATCTAACTAGTAGCCATTTGGGTAGATAAATAATACTGTTGTTCAGTCTACATTGTGAAAGTGTCCTGAATTAGCCTAGACCTCTGAGAGCTAGCTAACTAGTTACCTTATCTATCTTTGGCAGTTAAATAATACTGTTAACTCTATGTTGCGGAAGTGTCCTGATGTGATTAGACGACATATTTGCTAACTAGTTAGCTGCCATCTTCGGCACATGAATAATACTGTATCAACTCAACATTGTGAAAGTGTCCTTTTGCTAACTAGCCAACTTGTGGCCATCTTTAGAAGATAAATAGCACCGTTAACTCCAAGTTGTCAAAGTGTACTGATGTAATTAACCTAGACTTTTGCTAGTTAGCTAACTAGTTGCCATCTTTGGCAGATAAATAATTCTGTTGCTAACTCCAAGCTGTGAAAGTGTCCTAATGTAATTAGTTTAAACATCTGCTAGCTAGATAGCTAGGTGCCATCTTTGGCAGATAAATAATACTGTTAACTCCATGTTGTGGAAGTGTTTTGATGTGATTAGCCTACATATTTGCTTGCTACTTAGCTGCCATCTTTGGCGGATAAACAATACTGTTGCCAATTCAACATTGTGAAAGTGTCCCTTTGCTAACTATCTAATTGTTGCCATCTTTAGCAGATAAATAGCACTGTTAACTCCAAGTTGTCAATGTGTTCTTCTGTAATTAACCTATATGGTTTCCTAGCTATGTAGTTAGTTTCCATCTATCAGCTATCTAGTTAGCTGCCAACTCCAAGTTCTTAAAGTGTCCCAGTGTAATTAGCCTAGACTTTTGCTAGCTAGCTAACTAGCTAGGTGCCATCTTTGGCAGATAAATGATACTGTTGTCTGATATAGGCATTCCATATTAAAACTCGTGCCCAGAGAAGCTAAAAAGCACAGCTTTTGGCTCTGGACTTTGAGAGTTCTTTGCGTCATTACTGTACTGGTCCTTGGGGGTGGCTGTTTGCAATAACTGTGACTTCTAGGGGTTAACAAAAAGCGCTTTATGGATCAGGCCAATCCCCCAATAACATGCTAGTAAAACCTTACGAAAGGATCTGTCCTCCACCAGGCCCCCTACAGCCCTAACCAGAGCTATTTATAAGCCCAGCGTGAGTTTGTCAATGAATGATGCCAGTCTGCGTCCAAAACATAATGAGGAAAAGGAACAGAAATGCAAGTGAAGTCAAACCGTTTGGCACAATTTTTCAAGGAACTCCACCCACTGTTGGCCCAAGGACCGAAGAAAAGGCTTTTCCACAGCCCATGTGTTGGAAAGTTCAACTACTTTTAACAAAAAGTTTTTTATCCTTGCTTTTCCACAACAGGGAAGAGCTATATCCACCTTTACTCATCCTCAGGCCTGAGTTTAACCTCTTTATTGAAAGAGATTTCCAAAAGCTTTCATCTAGAGATGTTCGTGAAGTACTTGGCGAGTCATATATCGGCGCATGAGAAGGTGCAGCACAAAATGTGCTTGATGCTTCTGCAACACAAGTTCACTAGTAATGGGTGGTAGACCAGCTCATTCTTCCTCAGGTGTGAGTTTTGTCATAACTGTTAGATCAATATGCCATAAATAAGCACAGATAATGCAATACAAACAGCTTACGCTATCTTCTTTAGCTGAATGGCTGAGTTAGGGATGTTTTAGTCACGTCTCAAATGAAAATGAAAACGTAGCAGACCCTCAGTCACCTCCTGCTGTCTACTCCTGTGGATTTTTTCAGATCTGAAGCAAGATTGGAGCTTGATTCTCTCTTATTTCTCAATAATGAAAGCTTTAAGTGTGGTTTATCTGATGAGGACAGTTTTGGTGTCTACCAAGTCTTCCAGGTGATTGTTAGAAGTCCCATTTTCTCTGTAGCTTTAAATCATGTTCTTTAACTCCCCTTTCCCCCCCTCACTTATTTTCCTGATGTTCTCCTTCCTTATTCAAGTGGCTCATTTATATCTAATCTCCTCAAAACCACCTCTTGAGAAGTTACTAATATGTACTTAATGACTGTTTGAGTGGAAATTAAATAAATGATGGGTGATCTCTGACACGGCGCGGAATAGGCCTTGTATATAAAAACATACATAAATTTGTGTAAAAGTACTCACGCTGGGCAGGAAGTAGAGGCTGGACAAGTTGTTTCTTGGGGTGAGCTGCCAGGCGTTTTTCAGGTTGAAGCCCACCGCGCTGGTGAAGCGTTCAGACGTTGAGGTGTATGATTTAAATGTGCTCCGGAGCAGCCGCACAGGACCGTCATAAATCTGAAAGCCACGGATGGGGAACGTTCTGCAGGTAGAAAACAGCACATGCAGACAGTCACAGTGAACCAGCCAGTAAAACCCAGCGAACTTGTTTTCAGTGGACACTTTATTAGAAACTACTACTTGCAGCTATTCTGTTGGTAAACTGTTTGTTTCCTTCGTCAATGGTCACAGAGCTGGTCCTGCCTGGATATTTGTCGGTGGTGGTCTTCAAGTGAAGGGTTAACTTACTGAGAATGGAATATAATGAATATAGTAGACCTATAAAGAAGGTGTTTCCAATAAAGTGGCCAGTGAGTGGAAGTAAATAGAGGGTGTTTCTAATAAAGTGGCCAGTGAGTGGAAGTAAATAGAGGGTGTTTCTAATAAAGTGGCCAGTAAGGGGAAGTGCAAGGTGGGTGTTTCTAATAAAGTGGCCAGTAAGTGGAAGCACACAGTGGGTGTTTCTAATAAGGTGGCCAGTGAGCGAAAGTGCACAGTGGGTGTTTCTAATAAAGTGGCCAGTGAGCGGAAGTATGAGGTAGGGGTTTTTAATAAAGTGAAATTTTGATTTGCATTTTATAATTACAATGTAATAAAGTATACTAACACACTGTGTTCTGATAAGATTTTCAGTAGAAGAATTACTCCAGTGTATATGTGGCTTTGGCATTCCAACCAGCGTCCCAGGGGAGCACTAAAACTTTCGGCACAGCAGTTAAGTAGAGCGCGCGTCTAAACAGCTGCAAAACTGACCAACGCGATGAAACTATCCATCAGCACTCGACAATCTCCACAGAAAAACGGCACCAGCTGAGAGATCCCCTCACTCAGGAAGACTTCACCATCAAGATGTCAAATAATACGGTGAGTGTTGTGGTTTACTTTAGTCAGGAGGGTTAGTGGTTCATCTAGTGATGTGGAAGGGCCTCATTAGAGAGCAATGACCACAAGTTACACTCATATTTGTGACATTTTATCGATTTGAGCCAGATGCCACAATAACACAGTAGTGCAGAAACCAGATATTAGCTCATTAACTTGACTTGACTAACTAGGTATAGGTTCAGCTTTCATACTGTGTCAATATTATTGTCAAATTCAAACAATACAGATGAGACATTCCAGAGTCCAATAAATGGCTGATATATTTGGCCATATTTCTCTACTTATGATATATAAACTGGACACTGCTAATTTTAGGTAAAGCTTACATAAGCATTACCCTCACCAACCAGGGCTGATGTGGCTCCCACACAGCTTTAAAAGAGCTTTGCTTTCATCCATGGCTTCTTTCTCAAAAGCTAACAACCAAGCGAAAGCTTACCAAGCAAGCACAACAGAGCTCGCAAGCTCGTTCATCTGTTTGTCTGCCTGCCGTCCGTTTGTTCAACCGGCCTTGCTAACGTTTCATGTGTGTACATTCCCTGGTTGTACAAACAGCATTAAAGTGAAGAAGTTTACCTTTTTCAGACGTGACCATATAAAAGGTGTATAGTGTTTTTAGCGAGCCATTTTGTGTTGAGCATAAAGGTTTTACTGTTGTTATCCCCACAGAGCTTGAGGCTTTGCTCTGCAGCCAAATATGAAACTCTAAATGTGGTTCTTTGTCAAAGAGACTCAAAGTAGTTTTTAATCTCTCCCTCACTTGTTTCGGGGCAGCGTCCTCATCTTGTTGTCCACTCCTCCTGCACCCCAGTATTTATTCTGCCCTCCGTTAAAGCCGCGATTCTTGCTCTCCCCCACAAACAGAGACTCGGACACCTCCTGACTGGAGCCGATGTCTTTAGGGTAACTGCCATCACTGAGAGAGAGAGAGAGAGAGAGAGAGAGAGAGAGAGAGAGAGAGAGAGAGAGAATTTAATTATTATTGATTATTATGACTTTCAAATTGTAATGTCTCCCTGTCCCCCCGTCCACCCCATTTATCACTAGTGAGTTTTGAGAGAGAGAGAGAGAGAGAGAGAGAGAGAGAGAGAGAGAGAGAGAGAGGGAGGAAACAGTAACACTGTTCATTAGTGATGGCTGGAGGGCAGGAAGAGAGAAGCTGATGTTTGAGGATGAAAACTAAAAGCTCTCTCGTCGCCGACTGACTCCAGAATATTCCGCAGCAGATCCAGGCGACCGTTAGTTGGAATAAAGAGATGTTCGTTCTGCTAATGAGCCCACAGTGAAGGAGAGAGACAGAAAAACACATCCACACACTTCAAAGACGTACCTGGCGAACGACAGACCGACGCCGTTGTCTGCAAATCTGTAGAAACAGAAACAAAGTGCAGTCACGTTCTATTAATGTGAATCACAATCGTTCTATTAATAATAAATCAAACTCTGTATAAATCAAATTCTGTGTAAATCAAACTGAAAAAATCAGTTCAATGCAAACAACACAAAGACAGTTCATGTTTCAGCTGATTCACTGTATTGTTTTGTTGTGTATATATGCTCTTATTCTATATTTGATGTCTGTAACATGCACCAAAAATGTTGGGACAGGCATTTTTACCACTGTTTTCATTACCTTTACCTTAACAAGGTTCACTAATCCTTTGGGAACTTAGTTGTAGTTGTGAAAGTGGATTTTTTTTTTCCTACTCTTGCTTGATACAACACCTCAGTTGTCTCCCTTGCCGTATACTGGGCTTTACAATGTGCCACACGTTCTCAGTGGGAGACAAGTCTGGACTGCAGGCAGGCCAGTCAAGCATCTGCACTCTCTTCCTATGAAGCTATGGTGTTGTAACACAGAATGTGTTTCGGCACTGTCTTGCTGAAACAAGCAGTATAATCACTCCAGCTGGTTTCCTGATACGCTTAATCTGTTTGTTTAAGGGAAAAAATGGCTCTTCTTAACATTTGGGTTGCCGACCCCTGGCCTAGTCCTTTATGAGCAAGGGTGGGTCGAGGCTTGCCACAAAAATGCATCAGCAACAGATCCAACAGTTTCAGAATAACACTCCTCAACACTCCTGTAAAGCTCGTGCAACCTCACAACAGTAGCTACGAAAGCAGGCATTTGTGGGTGGAGCCTGGGCAGGTCAATTCTGGATGGTAATGTGTTACTTACCCAGAATTCTGGATGATGATGTCACCTCCACGAATCCAGGCGCCCAGGTCGTTGTTCTTGAAGGAGATGAGGGTATCAATCAGAGCAGCCACTCGCGGCTTGGAAGGGTCCGAGTCCTCATGGGGGCGGAACCTGAGATGGGAGCGAGACAGCAAGACAAATTCATATCATAAGTTACCTTTCCATATTACTTGATACTGAGTATTGGCAAAAATTTGCACGAATTTGCTAATGCTAAATTATGCGCTCTTCGAAACTGAGCCACTCACGAAATATGGCTCTCTTTTCACGTTCTGGTGTGCATATCTGTTATCTTAGATCTGATAGGCCACTAAAAATGAAATACTGTATCTGTGGGTTGGCCAAATAATGACCGCGAGCTGCTGTGCTGCGTTTGCTGGGGGAGGGGGAGGGGGATTCTTTCTCTGAATTCTATTAGAGACCCCCTTAACTGTTGTAAAATAAAAAATCAAAATCAAAATTGTGTCATCAAAATCTACACAATTCACATGAACGGCATATTTAGCATTAAAAAAAAATGTTGCTGAAAGGCGACGTATTTGCATGCATGTAATGTGGAACTCAACACACACACACACACACACACACACACAGTCTGAGAGGAGGTCTGGAGGCTTCCGTTCACACACACTTACTCCACAGTGAGTGAGCTGAGAGGAAACTCAATCTCAGCTGATGTGTTTTCACTGTAAACAGAACCTGACTCTCCAGAGTGCACACACACACACACACACACACACACACACACACACACACAGAGAGACATAGACAAACACACACACACACACAGACGTAGACAAACACACACACACACACCAATCTCACAGCTATAATTAGGTTCAGGCCTTCAAGCATATATCCCAGCTTGTATCTACATTACTGCATAACCAGTGCAATCTCTGGATTACAGTCATGTTTAATCAATCTGATACAAATATTCACAATTTGAAACAACGCTGCCCTCAAGAGTGCCATCGATGGTGGTGGAGAGAGCCAGACGGGGGAGCTAAACACCACATCACACTGAAATTGCCAAAACAATTCAAAAAAGTCGGGGCAGCAGCAATTTACAACTGGGAACACTGTGAAAGCTTAAAAAATCTTGTATGTAAGGAGCATCTAGGAAAAGCCTAATCCTTTATGATCAAGGGTGTGTCAAGGCTCACCAAAAAATGCATCAGCAAAGACTCCATCAGTTTAAGAATAACGTAAGCCAGCAAGCGATTGCAAGGATTTTAGGCATTTCACCCTCTACCATGCATAATATCATCAGAAGATTCAGGGAATCCAGAAAAATCTGTTTGCGTAAAAGGCAATGTCAAAAACACATAAGTAAATGCCAATGACCTTCAATCCTGCAGATGGCACTGTATAAAAAACTGATATATTTCTGTGATGGATATAATCACAGGGGCTTTGACAAACTGTTGTCAAACACTGTATAACGCTGCATCCACAAATGCAAGACAAGACTGTATTATTAACAGCAGAAGTCGTATGTCCAGAAACGCCGCCGACTTCTCTGGGCTTGAGCTTGTCTGAAATGGGCTGATACACAGTGGAATCATGTATTGTGGTCTGACAAAAGAACCTGGATGTTGTGTTCTCTGGACCAAAAAAAGAACAGACCATTCAGACTGGTACCAGCCTAAAGTTCAAAAGCCAGGGTCTGTCACGGTATTTTGGGGGTGGGGGGGGCGGTATTTGTGGGTAGCTTGCACATTTTTTAAGGTGCCATTAATGCTGAACACATTTTAGAGCAATAAATGCTGCCTTTTAGACGCCGTCTTTTTCCAGGTACGTACATGCTTATTTCAAGATGATAACAAGAAGCTACATTCTGAATGGCTGCGTAATCAGAGAATACAGGTGCTAGACTGTGTGCCACAAAACAAGGCAGAAAATATGACAACGTAGGCCCCATACGGTTGTGCAGCTGAAGACTTTTGTTACTGAAGAACTGCAAAAAAAAATTTGAAACAGGATCAATTGAAGTGTTATGTTTTTTGAAGCCGTATTGAATCTGATGCTGCTGTGAGACACGGAAACGACTGTCACTGTAGCAATGACTGTGCATGATCGCAGCAAAACAGCCAAATTAACAAACATAATTTTATTACAGGCTTGATTCATTTAATGCAATAATGCTGGAGTCAGTGAAGGTTGAGTACACCATAACTCACTTAATATGAGTCACTAACCTGAGTCTGCATTTCTGGCAACTATACAAAAGCATAGAAGGTAGTGGTTTCTAATAAAGTGGTGGGAATGTGTATTTCTCCATTCTTATAAGGTCTTAACTAACTGTTACAAGTGGCCTAACCTGGCATTGTTGTCCAGACAGAGGTATTCGCGAGGGTCCGTAGAGGTGGCGTTGGTGGTCTTGACTCCTTTGTCAATGAAAAGGCCAGCCTGGGAAAAGAAAAGCATGTTTGTACATGGATGGACTGGAAACGAAGACATGCTTTAGAATGTGCTAATTTCACAGCACCATCACTAGCCTTGAGTTTACAGCGAAAATGACATGTTGACAACAGGTGATGCAAACCAGTAAGAATCCTCTACGTGCAGAAAACGTGGTTTAAGTGAAAACTGTTGTGTCGATAATTTGGATTTTTTAAGTAGCAGTTAAGCTTAACAAGTTGAGCTCAAGCTCAAATAGAAGTACTCGCCGCTCTGACAAATTTCAAGGAATGCATTTCTGCTTTCTTCCATTACTTTTTAGCTTTACGTTAGTATCATCAGGAGGGCGACATTTAGTGACGTCTAGCGTCACCTGCTGCGTATCTCTGGCGATGCATTCACCAAAGATTTTAACAATGGTGCCAGTCAGTCAATCAGTCAGTCAGTGATTCAGTAACAGGTATCAAGCCAGACTGATAAAATATGGCTATAGCAGAGCTACACCATGCAAAATGTGCAAATAAGAGCTATTCATAAAGTCATCGTTGCAGTCATTAGTGCGCTGGTGTCTGTTTTAACACTGCTGTATTTTTACCGGTGCTGTACACAACAGCCAATTAAAATCCATGTGAAAATGAGGTCATACATATTAAAGACCCACGCTAACTGAAGCTTCAAATGGATACGGTAAAAGAAACAAAAACAAAGCAACAAAGAAAACAAAGAAATAAAGTAACAAAGATAACCAAAATTCTCAGAAAGAGAGCTACAAATTGAATTATAACATTTCAAATTATTTTTTTTTACTTCAGCATTTAATATTTTATTTCTCATTGGTAAGAATTCAAGCCTGTTTCCAATTCATTATAATTACAAAGTTTTTACTACTGTAAATTAAAGGTTAACATTTGATACTTTGTGTTTTACAGAATTAAAAGTTAAACTATTCAAAACTCTTAAAAGTTTAACTTGAAGTGGGAATAAAAAAAATAAGTTGTTTTAGCTTTTATTTCCTGTTCTCAGGATTTCAATTTACACACAGAAATTAAAGTCATTCTTTATACCAGAAATTAGATTTGCACAAATCTAATGAAAATTCCACAAGTAAAAATTTGTCTAGTAAAAATTCAGTTTTTACTTCTAAGAAATGGATTTTCACTTGTAAAAATGTAACTGTAACCTGAATTCTTTGTTAAAAAAAATATATATATATATTTTTAAATAAAAGACAGGATCAAAATCTAGCAACTAAATGAATTTGAATATGTCAAAATGTCAAATTACACTTCACTTATTTGGATTACATGCTTAACCTTCTTTCTATACATCCAAGGGGGATTCATCAAAAATGGAACTTGACGCAGGACGAAGCAATCCTGTGCTAAAAATAGACCAAGCTCAAAATATGATGGTTTTTACTGATTTTTGGCCTGGTTATTTGGTCCCACATTAAACACAAACTAGCTTGGCAATGTTTTTCAACTGTTTGAAGCCATCAAACCTGAGTGGAACATTATTAACTCTTTTTTCTGCAAGTTTACCCGCAAAACTTCAACATTTAAAGAAATCAAAGGGAAATGCTCTCTAATGTCAACTTACTTCATCTGTTTGTTCAATGATTTGTTGTTAAGGCCATTAAAAGCTTAATATTTTGCCAATTTTGGCTTGGCCTGTCTTTTTGCATGAGATTGTATGAGTGATTTGTTGTACGTGGAACTAAACATGTCTGGAAACACTGCAGAAGACACCATTTTATTACCGTCAAAGTGGTTCAGGCGTTATTTTTTTGCAGATTGTGTTGTGGTATCAAATCAATTTTGCCATATTTATTGATATAACAGCACCAGGCCATGCCTCAATTCTCACAAGCAGTAGAACTCACCAGTAATCCTCAATCAAGAATGAGTAAATGTGTTACCGCAACGCTATTTGCTCTTAACGTCAGGGTGAATCTGCTGGTGCGTTTTATAGATATGGCCCAATGACTCTCACTCATATTATACATTATTTTATTATACATCATAAGCTTCAATACAAGTATCAATATGGGGAAAAGTGGTGTTATGCTACCCCTGTGTCAGTGTTTATGAAGAAACCTTTCCTTTCAGATATATAAAACAGCCTTTAGTAAGTTTTAATTCACCTTCCATCCTTCCAGTTTTCTTAAGAACACAGTGGAATGAACATTTTTAATATAATACATAACTAAAGAGCTCAAACAGCACAAACAGAGTTCAGTTCAGCTTTCTGTGCCTGTTCCTCAACCTATTAAAGCACGTGAGTCACTGAAACAGACCATAATTAAGAGCGTGGTGTGTGCCACGGCCTTCTACTCTAAACAGCGGAGTGCTTCCAAGAAATGAAGATGATTTGTTTACTCATCACAACAAATAAAAACACTGTAATTGATTCCATATGCTTCTTCACCAACAGCGGCATATCACATAGCCATGTTAAACCATTACTGCAGTCCTGGAGTCATGAAATACTATTATTTATTCAGGCTACATACACACAGTTAGCAGCCATATTAAACTGACTCACATACATTAAAATGAATTAGAGGAATGAATGAGTTCAGTGAACAGGTCATATGACTGTGTACTTTTTCAGCTCTGGGCTGTACAAACTGAATCCACATTAAGTAGATTTCCACTGGCTTCAGCACAGCATGGAAAGGGGTAATGTTCTGTCTGCTAGCCTGGTTAGAGTTGGTCATTTCTGATGCACAGCAATATTGGGATCAAATCGGTATCGGGGTCAGTCAGATGTTTAGACTTGACTGATAATTCAATATTTGATGACATAGGGAGATATCTGAATTTAATCAGGCTGCACATCCCATTCCAAATGCACTCTATGTGAAAAAATGTGTGATCCCATTTGAAAATATTTGATCACATGGGGAAAAAATGTGACAAAAGTGTGATCATGTGAAAAAACATGATCACTTGGGAAAAATGTATAAAAAGTGTTTGATAACATGGAAAAAAAGTGTGTGACCACACACAGTCACAGTGGACCATGTTTGAGTTTCACGGTTGATCTGCTGCAGCTCAAATTGTTTGAACATGACTGTGCGGACTGGTGCAGAAAAGTAAAAAAAACATTGGTTTTTATTCACTTTTTTTCCATTTTCATTACCATTTAAATGATTTAAACAGTGTTAAATTTGACACTTTACTGTAGATCTATTTAATAGTTTACTTTATTCTGCCTTTTTTCTCTTTCTGTGGATATTTCAGTGTGTCCCTATTAGCATCTTAAATGCTCAGGCTGATGGAGATATGACAAAGCTCAAGGCTTTTTATCCAGTTATTAACCTTAAAACTTATTTAGTAACTACTACGAAACAAACACGCAAGTTACACAGCTCCAAGTGTGAAATACTTAAGTGTCCTTTGGAGTTTAATCAATTCTATAATGGAGCGTTCAGTTGAATTTGTGCTGTTAATACAGTGATATGAGTTTTACTTGGTCATGCTCAGTGTGCGTAATACCCCCTGGTGTTCTGGGGGTCCCATGCTGGCTGGCTGCTCACTCGCCATAACAGCGCTGAGGCTAGCTTCAATTCACTCTTTTCACCAATCTCTTAGGAAAACTGGGCAAGTATTCAGATTTACAAATACGTTACGACATACTGTAGAGATTTTCCAAGGTATCCTTGGTATAATTACAGTTGCTAGACTACGAAGGACCAACTGGGTAAACCAGCATGATACAGCACCACCCTGAGGCAGACCAGTGCTGCATCACTAGTTAGTTCGGAATACCAAAGACAGGAGCTTACCCACTGTGACAGAAGCAGGCTAATATCAGCCTAACATCATAATAAATTTATTTTCAGAGACCCCCTAGAATTTAAATTGAGACATCCCCCATGTATTTCACATCTTGGTCACGCTGTTGAAATGCTGAGGTACCTTAAAGTTGGAGTGGACTCTGTTGTTGTAGAAAATACCCAGTGGGGTGAGTTCTGCTTTCGTTTCAGGGACCAGCCCATGAGTGTCCCCTGTGGAGGCATTGTGGAAGATATACCAAATCCCAGCATCCTGGAGAAAGAGAAAGAAAACACTGTAAGTTTGATTATATGGACCATTCTAAAGTTACTGTGGCCCCACAGTAACTTTGAACCAGTTTGGTAGAATGATATATATATATATATATATATACAGTGTTTACTTGCCCTGAAAACATTAACATTGGAATGAAAACATGAATACAGGTACTGATTTAATGTGTAACAGTGCGTTCTCCTCATTGTAGCCTAATATTATTTGTAGTCATCATCAAATACCTGCTATGGCTAAACCAGGGGTCAGCACCCTAAATGTTAAGAAGAGTCATTTTGTCCTTTCAACAAAAATCTAATCACCTTGAGAGCCACAACATTTTATGTCCATTTTACCATTTTGGCTGTAAATATGTCTTCGTATTGGCAGACTTGCTTTGCTCTTTTTTAGGTTTTAGCTCAGCTATTTCTCGCATCTCTGGCAGGAAACTTTTCCACAAAAGTAGTTTCTTGTAAAATGTCTCTCAATTTTTTACGAGGCTGAAGTTACTTCTCATTCGCCCGATTTTTGTTAAAACGTTCCTGTTCCACCTTAAAAGGTGCCTTAGGCACTACAAACTAACTGCTGCACCATTCATAGTGGAACAGGAAAATTCGATCAAGAAACTGACTTCAGCTTCGCGACTTTTTAGTTTTTGACAGTTTCTCACTGCAAATTAAACGTATCAGAAAACTAGCTGAGCGCTTATAAATGCAAATAAGCCCATTCGTCTCTACATTATCAATGTTCATCTTAAACCTTTCTCTTTGCCCTTTCGTTATCTAATAACTAGATGAGACTGTTGTCTGCATTGCTTCTGCATTGCTATCTGACCAGCAGTCTGTGCACCAACCTTCAGGGTTGAAGGGTGAACTGGAAGTTAAATCACGTGTGTTGACGGAATGTATGCGATGGGTGGAGTGCAGTGAGAAATCAGGAACCAAACTCTGTTCTTCAAACTAGCTCAAAATACAACCCCTGCAGCAAACTATTAAAAAAAAAAAAACATTCTTTTTACAAATGCTAATCAAATATAAAGTAACAGAGCAATATCTTAAAGAGAAGAAAAAAATAATATAAAAATTGTAGCATGTGTATAAGTTTAGACACCCTTTCTTTTGTAAAGTCTCAGAACTTAACTGACTCATTAGGCAGGTCAAGAATTGCCATTAGGTATTGCATTCTGATGCCAATTTCAGAGCATAATAAATTCTCTGACTCTTCAAACCTGCTCACACTTAACAACCATGGGCTCCTCTGCAAAGCTGGCTGAGGATCTGAAAGTGAAGCTAACAAAGCAGGAAAAAGGCTTTAAAAAGACAAAGTGCTTTCAGCTTGCAATTTGACAGTTAAAGGGAACAGTGGAAGTCAAGGAAAGGTCTGGAAGAGCTCATCAGGTAGCACTGCTTGTATGTTGGCCAGAAATGCAAAGTAAAAACCCAATCTGACAGCAAAGGATGAAGGACGCAGGAAGCTTTAGCTAATAGAGGAGTGGTGGTGCCCCGTTCTACTGTGCAGCATTTCTTGCACAAACATTATCTGCATAAAAGAGTCATCAAAAGGAAACCTTACCTGTAACCTCATCACAACACCTGAGGTATGCAAAACAACATTTAGACACTTTTTGGAAATAAGTGCTGCAGACTGATGAAGTAAAATGGAACTCTTCACGTACCACCACCAAAGGTATGTTTGGAAAAGCAGCATTTGATGAAAAGAACACCTTGCTAACCCAAACACACGGTGAGTCTATTATGCTTTGGCAGCCAGTGGCACAGGAAATACTTCACATGTACACGGAAGAACGGATTTGTCCCGAATACATGAGTCTGCACCCAGGACCAATTCTGGGCTTCTTTGGGGGAGGGGCTCATTATGGCTGGTTTGCTTTCACACACAAGAATTCCACAATTCCACCAGAGCTCGCTTGAACCCCAGACCACCGATTTCAGGAGGTCCAGAGGTCTGTTCTCTGGACCACTCCTGGGCTCGAAAACAGCTTTCAAAACCTGACCAAACGTACCAAACTCATAGAGCAAGAGGTCCTGGGTCAAGAATAAAGCTCCAGTGTGAAAACACCTACAGTCAAGAAAGTGAAGCTAAAAGGAGGCTGGCTTCTACAACAGGATAATGATCCAAATCAAAATCCACTATGAACTATTTCAAGAAACACAAGCTTTTAGAATGACCCTCACAGTCCATCACTGTCCCTCACTCTGAACATCAACGAAAATCTGTGGGTAGATCTTTAACATGCTGGTCAGGCAAGACAGTCCATGAGTTCCAAGGAAGAGTGGATGAGTTCCAAGGAAGAGTGGGCAAAAATTCCTAAAACAGAAATAGAAAGACTCCTCGCTGGCTACAAAAAGCATGTTTTTCTATTATTTAGTTAGTGTGAATAGAATGTGGCCTGTGCAAAAGTTCTGGCATAATTTATACTTTACTTTTTTCCCCAAATATGTTAAACTCAGCAAATAAACAGAAATTGTACACCACAAATTGTAGAAAGTTTGTTTAGAAAAGAAAAAGTTGTATCATGTCATCTCTATATACAATAGAACATACGATGGACTACATATTATAATCTAACAAAGACATTCATAATAAATTAAATACAAGCAATAGAACAGTAGTTCATTGGTCAAAAACAATGTTTTTTAACTTAAGAAGATCAAACTAACTGCAAATGCTGTTTGCTCAAGTGTGAACCATTCAGAAGTTTGAAATAATTCTGAACATTGCAAAATTTATGCTTTCTTAACATCTTCATATAAGAAAAATGCTGTTTTTATCTGTGACTCTTGCATTCCTAAATCTCTCCTAAAAAAAAGAACAGTACTGACTGTCTGATGGTTCTACATGATGCTCAAGAATGCTTTGATCAGATATAAATGTACTTTTAAACCAAGTTATGGTGCCATGAACCCAAGTTCTTTCTCTCTCAGAAATGAGATCAGTTTTTTTTTCTGAGCTGTAATAACTGCAGGATAAACTGCTGGCACATCCCTGTGTTTACGTAATCTTCTGCTACGTACATCACGCCAAACCAGCACAAACAACCAGTTTATTGCCAAACAAAGATTTAATAAAAGAGTGGAATGGAGGAGATTTAACTGCTATGAGTAATTTCATTACTAGCAGATTAACTACTTAATCTCAAATATCATGCAAAATTACTGGCTTAGGACTTTCACTCGTAATCTTGGTTAGAATTAGAATACTGGGCAATATGGTTAAATATATATGTATCTCCATATTTTCAGTCTTTTGGTGCAGTGATACAGTGGTATGAAAAATGTTGGGGGGTTTCATTGATTTTCTGAGTAAAATTAAATGAACATATCCTCTATACGGAACCTAAATATGGCAATTTTCTGCAAATGTTAAGATACAATTTCTATTTATTTGTTATACATACTGGAAAAAAGCATACAACATATGCGCTACAACCTTTGCACAACATAATACATTACATAATATATGTTTTGCCATATCAGCCACCTTTAGGCTTATCATGTTTATTCACTACAAAGAATGATGGGCTTCAAAATGTGTGTAATGAGGAGCATTAAGGTCACGATATTGCCTACTCTTGTATCTTCATGAAAACTAATAGCGGATATATTGTAACTACTCCATGCACTGTCCAGACCTACTTTCTACTTTCTACCAGCACTGTTCTTAAATGAGTTTCATAAAATGGATCGTTCCGGTCCTAAAATCCGATTGGCTGAGCCGTGTTCGAAGCTGTTGTAAAACCCACGATATACACACACCTAAGACCGTCTCACAACAACTGAACTGTGTATCACAGCACGAAAAATCCTTGTGCTGTTAATGGAATAATCTTTGACTCTCATGCTGCTCACATGGACCACTGAGTATATGGATGAAGTAAGAACCTGTTTTTTGTTTAAACTGAAGAGCTGACAACTTATGTTCTTAACTAGAACTAGGCTGGTCAGCTAGCAAACAGGTTAAAAGAGCTAACAGCCTAAACAGCTCAATCTTCAATATCACAGGCTTGAATTAAAGTACTTACAGTATGATTAACTGTAAAATGGCAGTGTAAAAGTCTACAAATGTCACTTGAATGTCTTACACGCTTCAAATGTTCGTGTTTCGGTTAGAAGCAGCATCAAACCCAGGCTGAATCCCAAATGGCTCCGTACTCCCTAAATAGTGTGTTAGCTATGAAAGTTTAGAAATTCCAGCCTCTATAGCCAAAGAGTGCATCATTTATCGAGTATGGATGTCGGTGAATCCCGAATTACTGTCTCTCAGCTATTTTTTGCCCCGTTGGGCTGCAGGATCCAGTATTTAAATACCTACGTGATAAATAGTTCCCCAAAAAATCAAACACATCAAATAGTACATGTATGTGTATTAAAGCCTAGCTATAATTATAAATGTCTATAATAATATTTTTTGCATTCACGTTTTTATCTTTAACTTCACTGCACTTTAGCTTTATTTTAACTTAGCCATCTAGCTAACTAACATTATTTTGATGACGTATTCAGCAGTGTACGTACTGTCGGTTGCTAGGCAACAGACTTGACTAATTAATCGACCCAGGTTGAGCAGTTTAGGATTTCCTAACTTGATGTTTTAAGTCAGAATTCCTAAATGAAAATATAATTTGCTTCTCTGATGTGAAACTACCATAAAAATCTATTCTAGATCTTAACTTAAAACTAAAGATAAGAAGGTCAGACTTACCTGTGAACCTGCTGCTGCGTTGTTGATCAGGTTATTGTTTGGGTTGGCGATCCAAAATGTAGACACAGCTCTAAAGCGAACACACAGACGAGAGATTAAAGAAAACTAAAACTATTATCAACATCATCTATAATTCCAATAACAAAAACACAATCGAAAATAGGAGAAATACTAATAATTGGTGCTCATTGCAAACCAGCAGAAAAGTACATAATTTACATGCACACTGATGTAAACAAATGCTGCAACTATTCCATGTTCCATTTAAAGATACATTACACTATGCTTTTGTTTTTGTACTACAGACCCCGCCCACAAAATAAGCAATAAAAAACAGAAGCTGCAATAATACAGCGTTTAAATGTGTTATTTTACATAAACAATCACACTACACAATCACGTCACTCTACTGTCTTAAAAAACTAAAACGTTCACATTTTATTCTTTCCAAGTCGCTTATTTTTAGCACTATGAAGTTTGGTCAGTAGGGGGCGCAATTCATTCACTGTTCAACCTCAAACTCCGCCTACAAGCAGAGCCATGTTGTCCTTTCATTAGCTCCTAACAGAAACATCTCCATGAGTTAGGGTATGCTTCATGTAAATGATATGTAAATGAGGTACTGGTGGGCGTGGCATCATTTTGCACTTTAATTTCTACTCGTTTCCACGTCTTTCGAAGGTTTCATGAATTGGACACGGAGCAGTTTGTACGTCATTAAAGGCGAAAATTTGATGAATGTGTCGGCCCACAAGCCGTCAGGATAAAAATACTGTAAGTTACTGTTTCTGCCCTTTGGACCTTATGAATATGGTTGGATTAGCAGAGCTGCGGTTCGTGAACGTGAGTAAATATGGGTCACATTGCTAACAAAGCTAGCCAGCTAGCTTTCAAGTTATATCATATATAAGTGTTGCTTAAACTGCTAATTAGCGCCTGTGGCCTGCTAGCCTACCATGAGGTAAAAGAGAGTTTAAACAAGGTTTGTCAAAAAGACTTTACATATAAAAGTTTTGGTTTGCTTTTAAAATGTTAGAGAAATCGCTGGAATGCTGTAAATGCGTCACAGAACCTGCTCCACGTTAACCAGCTGGCGCCAGCAGCAAAGGAAAACTAGCTTCCTTGTTTGGGAATACAGCTACAGTTAGCAACAGCCTCTAGCGTAGCTAGCTACATCTGGACAACATCTACCAAATTCATACTACATATAAAAGTTCTTTGTTCTTTTGAAAACAGAAATATTACAGAAATCGCTGGCATGTTGTACAGAGACACTGCTTGATGTGAGGTGGCTGCAGCAGCAGTAAACAGGGCTACACCACACATACAGCATTTTAGCTCTGTTTAAAGTTAACTCAGTGCTTCCATCCACTTCCTGTTCTCACTATTTGTCACAACAGTTCACAAAAACTAATATACACCGATCAGGCATAACATTATGACCACGTCCTTGTTTCTACGCTCTTTGTCCATTTTATCAGCTCCACTTACTACATAGGTGCACTTTGTAGTTTTACAATTACAGACTGTAGTCCATCTGTTTCTCTGCATACTTTGTTAGCCCCGTTTTACCCTGTTCTTCAGTGGTCAGGACTCCCATGGACCCTCACAGAGCAGATACTATTTGGGTGGTTTATTGAGGTAAACTGGTGCATTTATTGAGGTAAACTGGTGCATTTATTGAGGTAAATTGGTGCATTTATTGAGGTAAGCTGATGTTAGCTTCGTATGTCAACTTTCGAAATAGGTTCTATGTTTAAGGCAATAAAGGCGAATATCTGTGCAAATCTGATTCATTTGTCAGCCCACAAACTGTCAGGATAAAAATACTGTAGGTTACTGTTTCGGTCCTTTAGACCCTAAGAATATGATTGGATTAGCAGGGCTGCACTTGGTAAATATGGCTCATGATTTAAAGCGATAGTTCAGCAAACAATCTATATTTCTCCCTTACAGTAAATGGAGTCGATCAGCCAAGACGTATCTTTTGTCTATGGTTTGCTTCTTTAGTTAGTGTTTAGGTTATGAAAGCACTGAACCTCAATTTTCTGCTGTTACTGTTTTCAGCTATGCTAACATAATTCTTTCCATTTTTATAGGTAACAGTATGTCATACAGTGTTAGAATCTGCATAAGCAAGTCTATTAGAGATACTGTTGAGACAGGTATGTGATGACACAGTGCTAATTGTTGCTATATAAGATTCATTTACTTCAATTATTACATTAGACTTGTAGCTTCAGTGTAAGACTATAAAAGCTAACTTCAGACACCAAGCATGTCTTGTCTAAGTCACACGACGTGAGTCTGTGATGTCATACTTGCACTCAGTGGCTGGTGAGGGAATGTAGCCCTTGTACACACGGTCTTGTATCTCTGTGCACATGGTATCGTTGCGGTCAGTGGGCAGGATGGTGCCTGGTTTGGTCACTAAACCCAGATTGTGGAAGAACGTATTCCTCTGCTCGATCCCGTCCTCCAGGAAAAAACAGTGACCCAGTGCGTCGTAGCCAACGGTGTCCCGTACCTTCAAAACAACAATCAGGGAGGAGCAGCGTTGGTCATTTTGGCACAATTTCTATCTCAAATGTACAGCAGGGTCCAAACATCTCTAAAAACACTGTTCTATTGTTTCCATTTCATCATTCATCAGAAACAAAGCATTACACTAAATTACACTCAGTTAATTTGCTAATCATAATTACATCATTTTAGACTTAGACATATCCATTTTCATTTGTGGTCAAAAGCAGTCCTGTGGTCAGACAAGGTGGGTGTTTCTAATGAAGTGGACAGTTAATGGAAGAACAAGGTGGGCGTTTCTAATGAAGTGGCCACTGAGTGGAAGAACAAGGTGGGTGTTTCTAATAACTATATATATATATATATATATATATATATATATATATATATATATATATATATATATATATAAAAATAAAATACAAATACAAACATATACAAATATTATAGGCACAATGATTTTTATATGAGTCACTGCTCAAACATTCATACACGCACCAGCAAGCCATTAGTGGCGTGGATGGTGACGCAGCGAGAGAAAGAGTGATGAATGGAGAGAGAATCGAGGTAGGCTGGTTGGTTGTAACCTCCCCGCTGGTCAACGTCTCCACACAGGTGGAAGTGGACGGGGTAACTTCCCTTGACCGCCTGCTGACCCATGTGCTTCAGCTCAACCTGAGAGAGATGCACTGAGGTGAAATTACCCAAGATCTACAGAAGAAAGACAGAGAGAGAGAAAGAAAAAGAAAGAACAAAGTTACTATTAGTTACTTTTAAATTAAGGATTTACAGACAAATTAAAGGGAAAAAGACACCATAAAGAGTCTTAATAAGGTGTTGGGCCACTGTGAGACAGTTTCAGTGCACTTTAGCATGGCTTTGTTCAAGTCCCTGGAACAGTACTGGAGGGATGGATCACCATTTGTCCAGAAGATATTCCCACAATTGGTGTTTTGATGATGGTGGTAGAGAGTGCTGTCTAACACAGTTGTCCAGATCTCCCGTAAGTGTTCAACTGGACTGAGGTCTAGTGACTGAAGACCACAGCATACGATGTACATCATTTACATACTCAACAAACCATTCAGTGACCCTTCATTCTCTGTGTATGGGAGCACAGTCATCATTGAAAGAGATCATTCCCTGCACTCTCTGATTACATGGTTGTGCTGCTGTAGCGTGGATGTCCCTGAAAAAGACGTCATCTAAAAGGCAGTGTATGTTGCTTCAAAATGTATGTATGTCTTTCAGCATTAATGGTGCCTTCACATGTGTGCAAGTTACCTACTAATACACCTCCATACCATCACAGACCATGGATTTTGAACTTTACACTGGTAACAACTCATTTCATCTTTGACCCGGAGAACATGACGTGCATTATTTCCATAAACATAAGTTTACTTTTCAGTTCCCAAGTGAAACGCTGACTCATCAGACCACAATACACGTTTCCACTGTGCAACAGTCTATTTCAGACAAGCTTGAGCCCAGAGAAGTCAGCAGCGTTTCTGGGCATTGTTGACATATGACTTCCGCATTGTACAGTCTTAACTTGCTTCTGTGGACACAGCATTAAACAGTATTACTGAGCTCATGTGCTCATATCCATCACAGAAGCAGGCTGGTTTTTAATACAGTGCCATCTGTGCCTAAGCTGTTGGGAATGTACACTGAGGCATTTCTTGGCAAAGTGGCGAGCCTCTACTTGCTCAGGAAGGACTCTGCTTTCCCAGATGCTCCTTTATATTCAAAGATGATTGTATCATCTGTTTAAGATGTTTTTTGCACATGTAACATGTTTTTCCTTTCATTTGTCACTTGAATTCATCTAAAAGCACTCTGAGATTTCTGAGAGTGGCTACCACACCTTCATTCCCACCTAAGAATTCTTCCCTTGAGCAGACCAAAGCACTTTTCTAAGCCCAGAAAACCAGGCCAGCAGCTTGGCAGTAGTGTAAAGTCAGTGTTAAACAAGCAAAAATGCACACAAACATCTCGTTGAATAATCTGACCTTGACGTGTCCTCCAAAGGTGTCGTGGCTGAAGTACTGGCACCAGTTGTTAGCGTAGCAGGAGCGCTCCATCTCTCCCTGGATCAGGATGTTTCTGGACAACAGAGCTACCTCCGCTCGCATGTCCACTCCATCCACAATCTCGCCCATGTGAGTGAACTGCGGCTTCCCTAAAAGTAAAGCATACAACAAATTCCTACAGTGGCAGTTTATGTTAAAGCAAAAAATCTAATGTACAGATTTCCCCCTTAACCAAATCAGTTAATCAGTTAAGGCATCTTATTTTTGCACTGGAGCTATGAGGCTAACGTAGCCACATGTTCACACATTGAACATGTTTTAGCTGATAAACTATATCTGAGCTAAGGGACAAATTGAACATGTTTTAGCTGATAAACTATATCTGAGCTAAGGGACAAACTGAGTTTTTTCATTATTGTTGTAAAGCATGGAACCTTTACTGGAGGAAAGTCTGCTGAGACACAGCTCAGCTAATCCAAGCTAAGGCCTGACTTGGCACCAGGACTGATCACCAGAGTTGGGAAATGTTTTGTGTCTGGAAGCAGAGCAAAGGATTCAAAGTGCAGCATGTGGTGGAGAGGCGTAAAACCTCTTGGCTGCTGCTGTAATAAACTACAGGCAAGCATTTCACATTTTGGCCACTAAAAAAAGAAGTAAACTAAAAAAAACTCATCACCAAATCAGTTTAATGTTTATGCATTCGCTAGGCCCAACAGCATTTTACAGGCTTTGAACACTTGCTGGCATTTCCAAACAAGTACTCACATATTCGTCAACAAATTAACCCCTTAAAAAACAATTATATATACATTCAATATTTAACAATAATTTTAAAGCATGTTTGTTACTACAGTTCAGGCCCAGCTGCATGTGCGCTATATGCTGTTATGATTGAATTTATTTCTTATTGAAATACAGCTTTTATTAGCCCCTTGTTTTTTCAGTTTATAAGAAGTTTTATAATTTTATTTCACTTTATTTTATTTATATTGTTTTAGTTGAGCTCAGTCATAGCTGCGTTTAGTTCAGTCATAGTCAGATTTGGCTCAGTCATAGTTGGGTTTAGCTCAGTCATACCTGGGTTTAGTTTCAGTTATAGCTGGGTTTAGTTTCAAGTATAGCTAGGTTTAGTTTCAGTTAAAGCTGGGTTTAGCTCAGTCATAGTCTGGTCTAGTTTCAAGTATAGCTGCGTTTAGTTCAGTCATAGTCAGATTTGGCTCAGTCATAGTTGGGTTTAGCTCAGTCATACCTGGGTTTAGTTTTAGTTATAGCTGGGTTTAGCTCAGTCATAGCCAGGTCTAGTTTCAAGTATAGCTGGGTTTAGTTTCAGTTATAGCTGTGTTTAGTTTCAGTTATAGCTGAGTTTTGCAGAGCACAACGTTAGCCAGGTTTAGTTAAATCATAGCCGGGTTTAGTTCAGTCATAGTCTCTCTGTCATAGCTCTGTCATGGCCATGTTTAGTTCAGTAATAGCTAGGTTAAGTGATAGTTGGGTTTAGCTCAGTCGTAGCTTGATTTAGTTGTGTCATAGTCGAGTTTAGCTCAGTCATTGCCAGGTTTTAGATCAGTCATGGTCAGGTTTAGCTCATTCAAAGCTGGGTTTAGCTCAGTCATAGTCAAGTTTTGCAGAGCATAGTCATAGCCAGGTTTAGCTCAGTCATAGCCGGGTTCTGTTCAGTCATAGTCGGGTTTAGTACAGTCATAGCCAGGTTTAGCTCAGTCACAGTCAAGTTTAGCTCGGTCATAGCCGACTTGAGCTGACCTCAGTCATAGCCAGGTTGAGTTTAACTGAGCTGATTTGGTAAAAAAAAAAAAAAACCTGACTTAAAAACAGTGGTTCCTTTCTGTCTCACCCATTCAGATAAAAAGGTTAACCTCAGTAAGCACATATTGCCACTTCTACTTAAAAATGCCCATCCCTAGTGGGTCTGTGGTCTACAAACAAGCTTTTTTTTTCTTGTAATAAAAACATTGTTCTATGTAGACTGAGGGAAGCCCCCAGTGCCAGCTTCATGTAAAATAACAAATACCAACTCACTTTGATCAAACAACCCCTGGAGACCGAGAGACACTGGATATTTTCTTTACTGACAGCATCCGTGTGTTCATAAGTAAACAACAACCAGTAAACATCCCCCACCCTTTTCCTGTCCCAGAGGAAGACGCAGTTCAGTCAATATCATGAGAAAAATCCCTTATCTCCACTGTCAGCATCTGTTACTTATTATATTTCAGGGATAAACTGAAAGATGAGTTTTTGCTTTATGTCCCTGAGGCATGGACGCTGAAATGCTGAGAAAAATCAATCAATCCAGCTGTAAACACAGTGAGGTTTTAACAAAAAGATAATAAGCAGTAAAACAGCCTCTCCTGACAAGGTATTACAAATCACAAACCGCAGCAGAACATGCACACAAACAGCCACAAACACAATAAAATACACAAATGAAATACAATTACAATGTACTGCCCCACTGTTTGGTAGTGGGGGGATAATGGGCTGCGGCCCCTTAGTTTCAGTAAAGGGTAATGTTAATGCTTCAGCACACAAAGACATTTTAGACAATTATATGCTTCCAACTTTGTGACAAAAGTTTGGGGAAGGCCCTTTCCTGTTCCAGCATGACTGTACTCCTGTGCACAAATCATGTGCAGGAACTTCAGAGTCCTGACCTAAACCCCACTGAACACCTTTGGAATGAAATGAACATTGATTGCGAGCCAGGCCCTCTCATCCAACATCAGCACCTGACCTCACAAATGCTCTTTTGACTGAATGAGCATAAATTCCCTCCCACTGTTCTTGTGCAAAGCCTTCCAAGAACAGTGGAGGCTGTTATAGCTACCAAAGGTAGGCCAACTTCAATATTAATCCCCATGGTTTTGGAATGGGATGTCTAACAATGTCACACAGGTGTGATGGTCAGGTATCCATATACTTTTGGCCATAGAGTGTGTATGGAGTCAATGCTCATCACTGGTGGACAACCATATAAACTCTCACCTTGTATTCTGACCTGCCTCTTGGTGCAGTGGGGGCAGGGCAGCAGGGTGAACTCCTCGGCCTGGTGCATTGAGTAGTCTGTACTGGCCACCACGATCCGCTCACCAGCTCTCCAGCTGCTGACGTCATCCTGCAGGTTCAGAACCACCTGGTCCACTGCGTCCACCTGGAACCCTGATATTGGGAAACCTGCCGGACAAATGACGACATGGTTTGTTTCAAATTTTAAAATACCTCAAGAAAGCACAACTGCTATTGAAAAAGATCAACAATTTTCATTATCGTTTAATCACCCAGGCCTGCACTGAGCTGCTTCAAGAGACAAAAAAGTGAAACAAACAGTTCCAGAAAAAAGAGAAGAACAGAGAAGAACAAAGATGACATATAAACACCATAAAAGCGGCCTTGGAACAGACTGACAACTCGCAACAACAAACAACTACAGATTTCAAACAGAAGGGAACACGTGTCAAACAGACCCGCACCATAGCGCTAGAGCAGATCACAGGGATAGAACATGATTTTTGAGAGTTGCCTGTGAACTGAAGGAGAGTGAGAAGGGGCTCTGGAATGTTAGCCGCTACACATTCACACGCCCATCTGAAAATTCCCCGTCCCTCATGGGCGTGCAATAAATAGATTAGGATTCTTTTAGAGCAGGCATGCAAAAAATAACAGCCTGGAGCTGAATACAGCCATCCAAAATAACACCTGTTCACCTATCTGTGCCATCACTGCCAGACTCTGCAACAGCTTTGTCCCTCAAGCAATCAGGTTTTTAAACTCACAAGGACTGAACTAAACAACACTCATACACACCTCTTTTGATGCTCTACTTGCACTATCTGGAACATTGTTGCCAATACTGAGTTTACACTGTGTTACACTGTTTTCACTATCTCAGTAACTGTTTTACTACCTCAGTAACTGCTGTGTATATGTATGTTATCTGACGTAACTTACAGATCACATCATGTTAAATATGTCTGCACCTTATTCCACTACCTCATGTCCAGAAATCTGTGCTGTGTCAGTGCTACACTGTCCGGTCTGTTTACTGTGTCTAATGTCTGTTTAATTTATCGTATTTATTTTATTGTTTCTAGCTTAATTTTAGTTTGCACACTGTCTGCATGTTCGCACTTTGTCATTTTGTACTTTTGTACTTCTTGTTCCTTGTTGCACTGTGTTGTTCCTGGAGGAACGTAATTTCCTTCCACTGTGTACTTGTACATAGATGGAATGACAATAAAAGCCTCTTGACTTGACTTGACCTGTGGCGTTACACAACAACGGCATTCCATACACCCTCACCAGCCTGCTGATCAGAAACCTTTCTGCCTTGTTGATGTACAGTTTGAGACCACAGATCGGGGGATGGCCCAGTCCTGGTCCTGGAGATCTACTATCTTGGGGAGTTCAGATCCAACAAACCTGGTTCTAATGTTCAGATGCCCCTGAAGGCCTTCATTACCTGGATCAGGTGTGTTAGATTAGGGGTGGAGCTAAATTATTCAGGACCAGGACTAAGCACCCCTGCTATAGTTCTTAATCAGTGGTCAGTTTCTGTGCCGAAAATGGTCAAACAGCCAAACCAACCGCTTGTCAACAGTGATCCTGTGGACAGAAACTGACCAATGATGAATAAGGGGGGGGGGGCTGGTAAAATATACTGCAACAGGTGAGATAATTCACTTGCATAAGGTAAGAAAAGTAAGGAGTTTCAAAACTGGACTTCCAAAACAGAAAGTGGGACTCCTAACAACTAATCAGCTCCTTAAAAGTCCTAACAAGACCTGATAGACCACTAAAACTGTCCCCATCAGATAAAGCTCCACTCTTGCTTCAGACCTGGTGTTTCTGTCCATCCTTCCACTGCAAGAAGACTCAAAACTCAAAGGTATGGGTCTGAAAGGATGTGTAGCTGCAGTGTGTCCTCTAGGATTTTTTTCAGTAGCGGTGACAGGCCAGACACCGTCCCCCTACCCCACGACTGGGTCAAGACCAACCCCCCTCAAGCCATTTCCCCCACCTTCAGCTTCTTTTCTCTACTGTCCAGCCACTGAAGATTAGGCACAGGCCTTCAGCCTTACCCGTTTCATTCAGTGCATTTTCTCACTGTAAAGTTGTAAACAAACAAGATATACCATCCTTAACAGTAGTTTGCCCTCGTTGGCTTGCTGGCTAGCATTAACACAGTATAACAAGCAAGTAGCCAAGTGGTATACAGTCCAAAACAGATAAACAGTTCCTTTTGACCCACTTTATTCATATTTCAGACCACCTATGTCTGCAAAAGTCCACAAAATTTAAAACTGAACCCAATAAAATTGCAAAATAAGGTCAACCCAACCTCCTCACAGTGTGCTAAGTCAGCCTGGACAGTCCACTCCACTGACAACCGTATCATTTGGAACGCTGGCTCAACTTTGCTCTGACTGTTCATGCAATGTTCCTCGACTTCCTGTAACTGTCAATTCAAATTAAAAGCCCTCAGCAGAGTTTTGTAATTGCAACTTCATGACATTTCATAAAATCTGAAGCAGCGGTATAAACACTGAGCTGTGAAGAAGCTCAAGAAGCTGCTGACCACTCCAGAGTCCAGACCTCAACATCACTGAATGCGCTTGGGATCACTTGGATTGTGCAAAGTAGAAAATACAACCAACTTCTAAGACTGAACTTTGGAGGTGTGAAAAAACAAATCCCTGCAGATTTCCTTGAAAACTGAAAGCAAGACTCCTGAAAAGAACGGAAGCTCTAGCAAAGGTAAAGAGTGAACACACTAATATCGAAAAAAATGATATATTTAGTTGATGAAGCTTCTGTATAGTTTTCTGCTCAATTTGTGAGAATGGATCTATAAGGTAGATGTTTCCAACCAAGTGGCCAGTGAATGTACATCTACATATTCTGAGCCTATCAGATGATCTATGACACACATTATAAATATGAGTTGTGCCTCCTGCTTATATAACTGCATTAAGGAGAAATACAACTTCAAACTGCTGCTAAGAATTCGAAGAAGCAGTCCAAGCCCATAATAATAGCTACAAGAGCTTAAATGTGACAATTTATCACAGAACGTAACATTTCCAGACCAAAACAGCTATGATTTTCAGCTGAAATGGGCCAGTGTGGTCAATGCAGACCTTGTGAACATTCGTCCTGTCACTGCAAGCAGTTCCACATTCAAGAGCGTTCAGAGTCACGCTAGTCCTTCACCGATAATAGCCACACACTTGGTCATCCACCACACAGTTGAGTCTGATACATAGAGCTGCCTTTGTTTCTTAGGAAATGAAAGGAAGCCTGCTGGAGCTACCAAGGTCATTGCTCTCAAACCCTGGAGACAGAATAACTGCCCTCAGAAACAATACACAGAGCTTAGCTATGCATTAACAAAAAGAAAAGCCTGTTGTAAAGGACTGTTTGAGGGAATAGTTTGGTGAAAAAGTCATTTGACAGAAATCCCCCCCTGCCCTCCCATATGTAGACAATCAGAAAAGACACATGATGTCCAAAGTTTGCTTCTTTAGTTTTGCACTGGAGCTACGAGGTTAATATTAAAAGTATTTGTATGATATTAAAAGTGAGTGTTATTAAAAAAAAAATAAAACTACTATAAATTACATTACTATAAACTCCCCTAGATGGTTGCTAAGCTGTTACTAGGCCTTGGTAATCCTGGTGGTTGCTAAGGTATTGTTGGCCAATGCTAAGTTATCCTAAGTTGTCGCTAAGGTGTTGCTGTGGTGTCCCAGAAGATTGCTAAGGTGTTCCTTGGTCATTGCTATGTTATACCCATGTGGTCGCTAAGCTGCTGCTAGGCCATCTCTATGGTGTTCCAGGTGGCTGCTAATATGTACTAGTATGTTTGTGAGTCTGTATGCAATATCTATGAGGGTCAGTGGGAGAGATGTCCTCTTTGTCATCATTTGTGGCAGTTAGATCTGAACTTTCTCAACGTTTGACTATTCGTTTGCTATGGGAAAACTGTTTGACCAAATGTAGTATGAAAACCACACATGCAATCAGTCCCAAAAGCACATAATAAAGTGCATAATATCTATGCAGGCTCTACAATTATGCAAAGTTTTGTGGTTTTAACTCGAAAAATGTGTCCTGTTATATAACAAAGAACAGCAATTTAGTTTTGTCAAGCCAACTTAATAAGACACAGCTTGAAAATCACTTACGAGACTGTTTATCTGAGAGCTGTCTGGGCATGTCCTAATATTCTTTTATGCCAGCCCTTATTCCAACACTCCCATAAGCAAAGCATTAAGAAAGGAGTGAAATGTGTCATATACAGGTCATGTTGTAAACTAGCCCACTGTGTCCACTCACTAAAACATTATTCAGCTTTTATATGGCAACATCCTTAAACAGGTAAACTTCTTTTTCACTTTAAAACTGGATGTGCCTCCAGAGAATATGGGGGTGTCCCACTCAACTAAGAAATGGACAGATGATCGACAAACTAGCTTGATATGCCTATGCTCAATTATGCTTTTAAGGTTAGCTTGCGCTTGGTGGTTAGCTTTTGCTTGGTGAGTTTCTCTGATTCGACCACAGAGAGAGTGTAGAGGAACACAACATAAGGTGTAAGTGCCGCTAATGGGCACAAGACCAGGATTAGGATTGCCCAGTTTAAATCAAATGAGGAGATTCTGGCCATTTATTGGGTATTGGTCAGTTATTCACGGGACATATTTTGTGCCTGTATGTTGTGTGCTGACAAGAATGAAATTAAACTACTTAGAAAGAGAATACTAGCTATACTTTAGTTTATGTTTAAAGATAACAGTCTCTCAAATAGTGTCAGAAATCACTTAAGCAAGCCTATTTTAGATTATTTGAGTGCAGTTTGAGGCAAATGTATATTGATTTAGGCATGCAGTGTGCACAATGCTAACACGTAGGTATAAACTTCCATTACTTGTTAGCTACATTAGTCTCGTAGCTCCAGTACAAAACTAAAAAGGCAAACCTTAGACTTGTCTCAGTTGACTGACTACGGTTGGGGTATAAACAGTATTTTTAGCCATCTCCAGGCCTGTGAGCACTGTTCTGTTTTATTGAATGTGGTTTAAGGGCGCACCGTTTCTCCACTCGCTGTAGGCCGCAACAGAGAAGCGTACGCCATCCACTGTGACAAAGTCTCGGCGAGCGAGCGCCCTGCCGCCCGTGTCGTGGTTCTCGTGCTCTCGGGTGTCCTCTGTGCATGAGCCGTTTCCTCCGCCCAGCACTGCCACTAGGGCCCACGCCTGCCTGTGAAGGAGACAGACAGAGGTTAATCATTCAAATGAATTCAGAGGAAGTTCAATAAAAATCTCTACCTTTTTAGCACATTTGTTACAGACTCCAAAGCATATCTACTTTCCAAATGCTTTACAGTGAAACAGTTCAGAAAAAAAAAATTAAACATGCACAGCAATTTGATGGGGGGGGTCCATTGGCTACCCCTCAGTTAAGACCCCCTTGTAAATCGACCATCCCTCCTTTCCATCCCCTTCTGATGAATAAGGTACAACTTAGAGTGGAACAGATTTTTCAAAATTTCGCCATAATTCAGGTCATTCGAAAGCAATTCAGAGTGGTTTGATGTGAAATGGTTGATTTTAGAGAAACTGACCCACTCAGATTCCTTTACAGTGGTGGTGATAGGAACCAGGAGTCGTAATGACTTCAACACTTCAACAAAATATTTTGTGAAAATAGTATCTCATTGGGGATGTTTCGCTGAAAGCCACACCCTTGTCAGTTAAATGTGATTTGCCAAGACATGCCTAAGTCATCACACCTGTGTCTATTATCAAGTCAAGTTCTTAAGAAATCTCTAATACACTTGCTTATCTGGTTTCTGACACAGTATGACACACTGTTATCTATAAACCTGATAATAAATTCGTTTCAGAACTCGTAGGCCAACTTACAAGATTTGGCACAGCTGTTTCACGACACGCCCTCTGCTAAAGATACTGTGTGGGAGTCTATATTATGAAGCTAGATGAATTGGTTAGCGAGTTAAATGGTTCAAAATGAATCTTTCACACATGGTGTCCACATACGTGGGCAGTTTTGTAACTTTTTAAAAAACAAAAATTCATTGGTGGCACTAAATTTGCTGATGTGAACCCAACAGTTCAGTAAAAGTAAACTTATCAATTTAGCATAACCTTGTTTAGCCATTTAGTAACTCCATTAAACTGAGTGCAAAAGCAGTTATGAGGGGTAAGGCTCAGCTGTGTTCAGGCTCAGCTTAATGGTAGCTGATATTTGACTGATATCCAAGTAGCTATTATAGCTCAGTGAGGGCAAGAAAAAACAATGGCCAAAAAAAAAAAAAGAAACAAAACAAGCTAACTGGTACAATGTTGGATGCTGATGAAGACTCATTGTCCTCAGAGGACAATGTTCCCGTATGTTATTTTGAGAAATGCGTTGTTTCTGGACCAAGTCAACATCAGCTGGAGCAGCAAGCCAATGAACCTGTGCAACCTCTGCCTTAACAGCCACTTCCTTAAAATTGTGTCCTTGGCAATGTGCTCATGTTAAGGAACTTATGCTTCATGTTGACTACACCCATAATAAAAATGTTAGGTTAGGGTCAGCATTTGGCTACAGACTAAGTGACAGAAGAGAGACAGCAGAAGCTGCAGTACAAGAAATGCACAGTGAAGTCATTTTAATGCAAATGAATTTACCTCAGTATACTTCAGGTCAGTTTGCTGAGCTGAGACAAGCATGTTGTAATGTTATCAGCCTAGCTCAGGTTTTCCGTTTCTATCGAGTGTCCATGGAAATAAGTATCCACACTGGAACGCAGTAACAATGTTTCAAACATCCAACCGTTAAATGCTTCTTGAAATCTTCACGCTTAAAGTGTTTATAATGCAGGTGAATGTTTCTTCTTTGTTATTACCGCAGCATCAAGTTTTTAACCATTATCTCTTTCACAACTGTGTGCAATAATGATCTGCTTTTCCTCCTGCACTTGTTGGCAGAGTAACATTTACTCAATTTCACATCAAACTTTTCAAAGTTGCTACTAAGGAAGAGTGGTAGATGAGGGGGTGGGGCCATGCCCATGAAGTGCAGACTTTCCTACAGCCCCACTAACTGTGCAGAGTTCCATTTCAACTTGCTAACCCTTTGATCCATCTTCGAAGACCTCTGAACAGGTTGTGATACTGTTTCTGTCGTTCCTACAGCCTTAGATCATGCTATGAAGAAGCTGTACTGTAGTTCAATGTAGCTAATTCCACATGCAATGAAAAAGGGTCAACAGAAAGTTAAAGACTCGTCCTGTTTCCACAAAATACCAGAAATCGAGAAAAGTCAGCAATAAGGAAATGGAAGCCACTGGCTGGCATCACACTAACTGGTCTCTTCCTTCCTTGCAGAAGAAATAAACTGCTCATAACATGGCAGCAAAAAAGCATTAGTGAGGTTCAGTTACAATGCAAACGGAACAGCAATTTTAGGCAGGAAACATCTGAGAATGATGCAACATTGTGACTTGTAGAACAAATTGCAGTTTATGAGGTAAAATTTGTCCATCTGCTTGTCTTTGGTGAACACCGCATGAAGCCCAGGCTCTTGGATGTCAAAGCAACATAATCTTTGGGATTTTTTAAAACGTACATACAGCCAACACATGTTATGATCTAGTTCTACTAAGTGATTCATCTCTGCCTCATTGCTGGCTAGTCATGACAAACCCTCTCACTCTCTCTGCCACATACCAAAGGGTGACCTCAGTTTTTGGCAAGGCAGGAAGCTAAAACTGTGACTGAAATGAATGATGACGCAGTGCTTTCCTGCAAAGATCGAGCTTAACAGGAAAATAATCCCTGATGTAAGTGTTTTACAGGCTAGTTAAGCTCCCAGAGCTTCTGGTATTAGCACTACTGCTGCGGCTACACATGAAAAGCACTTCAACTGGTGTTCATTTCGTTCTCGCTCACAGCTCCACGGACTATTTCCACCGCCTAAACTCAAGAACTCTCTCTCATTAACTGTTATTTCTGACAGAGAAAAACAAGAAGGTTAGGTAAAGTTCAAATAAGACGAACAAAACTTTGTCCGGTAATTGCCCAACTCCCAGTAAAGCTAATAAACCGAGCTCAAGCCTCGATTCTAATTAAGCCTCAAGACAGAAGCTAATAAAACAGTAAATGCGCTGGGATCAGGGGGTGAATGCTTCGTCAGGCAATCTGTCCTCCAGCATTCCTTCAGTTTTTGTGCAACCTTTCAGAAATATCAGTAAAAAAACATCCCAAAAATGCGCCTTCCAGCCTAAAACGACCATTTACTACCATATCTGTTATGTTTTTGTAACATTCTAGCTCAGCACTGTATCCCTCAACCTCATCAATCTGACAGAACACACACATTTATATCATTATGTCTTCTGTTCTCTCATTACGATACCCATGTACGCAAATATGCGACAAAACCACTGGGAATCCCTGTGGTGCCAGTTAATCCTGAATGCTAGCACAGTCAATAAGCAATAGGCTAATAAATTCAAAAGCTAACACTGCCGTAACTCTTATGTCGGTTGTTGATTCTATCTTAGTGCTGCACGAAATGGACACCAGAGACAAGTTTTACCCTTTCGGCCAGAGAAAATAGGCCAAACTGAGGTAAGATATCTTGATAGTTAGCAAACTTGCTAACTTTTGGTGTTAGCTTGTTGTCCTCCACATTTGACAAGTCGTTTCTTTTGTTTGAGGAATCCATTTTCTCCACTTTAGTGAAGACAGTCAGTACAGCTATACAGCTACAGTAATATATTTGGCTTCTTAGTATTAATGTTAGCTATGTTGCTTCTTTCTGCATTTGCCAGCTAGCGGCTAGTTCAGGGCAGAAGCACACACGAAATTCAGGTGGCTGCCACCATTATTAAGCTATGCTAACATGCTACTGTCCTGTTCTGTAGTTAACAGTATGTCAAACTGTATCCTAAACTACATGAGTCTATTTAGGATTACTTAAAAGACTACTGGTACCTCAGTGAGGAATTAGCTACCATTGCTTGTTAGCTACATTAGCCTCGTAGCTCCAGTGCAAAACTGAAGAAGCAAATGTCTTACATGTTATTTAACAACTTGATTCCACTGCAGTGCTGAGAATGATCCGCCACCCAAATAATATCTGCTCTGTGGTGGTTCTGTGGGGGTTCTGACCACTAAAGACCAGGGTGAAGAGGGGCTAATATATAAAAGCTTGGACAGCACCATGTATGCAGCACTGTGGTTCTATTTACTGTTAAAGCTAGGTATCAGAAACAGGCAAATATGTGTAGATTGCAGAGGGTTTCCTGCACTTTAACAATAGGCAGAGTTTCAAATGTCCCACTATGAAAGATAACTGACCCCTGCCTTTTGGTCATAAAACATCAGACACCTCCTTTCACCAATCACAATGCTTTGTTCCCCATTCGAAATAACATGACGTTCTAATGATGGCTTATCTGGCCAAAAATCAAACAGTCCAGCCCCTTTTCCAGCAAAGCTTTAGCCACTTCAAAGCAGAGCAATAATGTCCATTTCCTGTAGGACAGTAAGAAGAGTCACCTGGGTATTCAGACGGATAAGCGGAAGGCCTTGGCTCAAGAGTCTCATTAGCTGACTGGAGAGCAGATGACCACAAGTTCCGCCGCGGCAGATGTGCAAAGTGTGTCCAGGAAAACTGAGTTGAAATGGAGTTTGGGATGCACAGAGGGATTTGAGGAGTTTCTTGTGGGTGTTTGATGAAGGGTCAGCGGAAAGGTCTGTACCAACTATTAACTGTGTGCAGGGTCAGGTTTACACAAACAGGGCGAGAGGTCAAAATGAGCCAGCATGCGTCGTTAGTCTTTAAAAGCTTTTAAGGGGACGATAAGGATACGTAGCACAAGCAGTAGGCCAAGTTTAAGGTAATTACAGCGGAGCCTGTACTAGGGCTTGAAATGTTTGTCCAAATCCAGCAAGAACCAGAGTGCTCAAGTTGGGTTGAACGTCAGTTCTCGGATGCAATCTATGGCCAAAAGTATGTGGACACCCTCCTAATCACTCAGTTCAGCCATGCCCATGTTCTTTACACATGGAAAAACAATGTGATTTCCATCATTATAGCAGAGGCATGACGATTATCCCCTTCAAAGCATCGGCAGCATTATTATGTTTAATCTGCCACATTGTCGTCACCCATTCGCATTCTATATTTGCTCCGTATTACAGAAATACTGTCCGCCGTTCCATGGTTGTACCCCGGTCAGTTCA